TTCACGCTTCCGGCCTCTCCGCAGCAGAATGGGGTTGCTGAGCGCCGCATTGGCTTAGTCATGGAGGTCGCTCGTACCTCCATGATCCATGCGGCTGCCCCCCATTTTCTGTGGCCGTTTGCGGTCCGGTACGCCGCGCATCAGCTCAACCTTTGGCCCCGTGTCTCCTTGCCGGAGACCTCGCCCACACTGCTGTGGACGGGGAAGGTTGGCGACGCGTCGCGTTTCCGGGTCTGGGGTGCTCGTGCCTTTGTCCGCGATACCACCGCGGACAAGCTCTCCCCTCGCGCCAGTCCTTGCGTCTTCCTTGGCTTTGTCCCTGACGCGCCTGGCTGGCAGTTCTACGACCCCGCCTCGCGCCGTGTCTTTGCGTCTCAGGACGTCACCTTTGACGAGTCGGTCCCCTTTTACCGCCTCTTCCCCTACCGCACTGCTCCTCGCCCCCCCCCGCCGCTCTTTCTCGCCCCAGGTCCTCCCCAGGTAGACCCCCTCCCCGCGCCAGGTCCTGCTCCTTCAGGTGTCTCTCAGGTAGACCCCCCTGCGCCTGCGCCTGTTGAGGTCACTGGTGACTCCGGTCCTGCTGGGAGTGGTGCTGTCTCTGGGGGTGCGGAGCTTGGGGGTGCTGAGTCTGGGGATGCTGAGCGTGTGGAGCCTAGAGGTGCTGAGCCTGCGCGTGAGGAGCCTGGAGGTGCTGCGTCTCGGGGTATTGCGTCTGGAGGTGCTGCGTCTGGGGGTGCTGAGCCTGTGTGTGCGGAGCCTGGGGGTGCTGAGTCTGGGGGTGAGTCGCCTGAGGGCTCTGAGACTGCTGTTACGCGGTCTCCTTGGAGTAGCCGTCTTCGTCCGCGTGTGCCCCTCACCTCCCAGCAGCTGCACGACTGGTACGGTCGCCGTCAGCCTCCCACTTCTGCACCTCAGGGCTCTCCTGCTGGAGGTTCTTCTGCTGGTGTCGCTGGTCTCGGAGGTGCTCGTACTGGGGGTACTGGAGCTGCTGGGGCTGGTGGTGGTGCTGCTGGAGGTACTGGAGCTACTGGCGGTACTGGAGCTGCTGAGGGTACTGGAGCTGTTGGAGGTGCTGGAGCTGCTGGAGGTGCTGGAGCTGCTGGAGGTGCTGGAGCTGCTGGAGGTGCTGGAGCTGCTGGAGGGGCTGGTGGTGCTCGTGCTGGTGGCACTGCTCAGCCGCACCTGTTCTTCACTCCGCCGTCTCCGTCGTCTCAGCCACCACATGACTCTGCACTTCGCCAGGTTCTCGGTCTTCCCTCGTCTACTGGTCTTCCGTTACAGCCTGGCTCACCGCTGCCTGCTCCTTCTCCGTACACAGAGCAGCCTGGTGGCCTTGCAGAGCGTCGTGAGCCTGCGTCGCGTCCTGTCTCCCCTGTCAGTTCTAGTCGTCGTGTTCCTAGTCAGAGCCAGCCGGCTGTCTCCGGCCCTCCCCTTGTAGTTCGTCGTCCTTCCTCTTCTTCGCCGCGTGTTCCTCTGCTGCCCCCCCCTGCGTCCTCTCTGCCTATTGTTGCTGACCCTGCGTCTGACCGGTTTCGTGCTGAGCACTCTACTGTCACGCGTCTGCTTGCCACTGTTGTCACTGACCCGTCGTTTGAGTCTGCTGCTGCGTCTACCTTAGTCACTGAGCTTGTTGCCTTTGCTGCTCACTGTTGCCTAGACTACGCCGCCAGTCTTGTTGCTGAGTCTGCGTCTGTCTGTCCTCCGACCGTCGGGGGTGAGTGTGCTCTTGGCACGGACGTCCTTGAGGACAGGCAGGAGGACCTTGAGTGTCTTGCAGCCCCTGCGCCTCATCTCGTATCCATGCTGCTTGCCCCTGAGGGAGACCCGGATGCACCAGACATCCCTACCCCGCGCTCGTACGCTTAGGCGATCGAGGGTCCCTACTCCTCTCAGTGGCAGACAGCCATGGACGCAGAGATGGCATCCTGGAAGTCCACAGGCACCTACGTCGATGAGGTTCCCCCTCCTGGGGCGAACATTGTCAGTGGCATGTGGATTTTCAGGGTGAAGCGGCCGCCAGGTTCTCCGCCTGTCTTCAAGGCTCGTTACGTGGCTCGAGGCTTCAGTCAGCGAGAGGGAGTTGACTTCTTCCAGACCTTCTCCCCCACCCCGAAGATGACCACTCTTCGGGTGCTGCTGCACGTTGCCGCTCAGCGTGACTACGAGTTTCACTCTCTTGACTTCAGCACAGCCTTCTTACAGGGCAGCCTGCACGAGGAGATATGGCTGCGCCGCCCTCCTGGCTTCACTGGGTCGTTCCCTCCTGGTACCCAGTGGAGCCTCCGGCGGCCGGTCTACGGTCTCCGCCAGGCGCCACGTGAGTGGCACGACACACTGAGGACGACACTTGCGGCTCTTGGGTTTGCTCCGTCGACTGCTGACCCGTCGCTGTTTTTGCGCACCGACACGTCGCTGTTGCCGTTCTACGTTCTTGTGTACGTCGACGACTTGGTCTTTGCCACTGCTGACACTGAGGCTCTCGCCCTGGTGAAGTCGGAGCTGCAGAAGAGACACACGTGCACAGACCTGGGTGAACTGCGCAGCTACCTTGGCTTGCAGATCACCCGGGACAGAGCACGCCGCACCATCACACTGACTCAGTCACACATGGTGCAGCAGGTCCTTCAGCGCTTCGGTTTCACCTGGTCCTCAGCACACGCCACTCCTCTGGCTACAGGTCACTCGCTCTCAGCTCCACCTTCGGACGAGTCCGTAGAGCCGAGTGGTCCTTACCCAGAGTTAGTGGGCTGCCTCATGTACCTGATGACTTGCACTCGTCCTGACCTTGCGTACCCTCTTGGCCTTCTGGCTCGCTACGTGGCTCCTGGTCGGCACCGAAAGGTGCACATGGATGCTGCCAAGAGGGTACTACGCTACTTGTGCAGTACATCGGGCATGGGGCTCGTGCTTGGAGGACGGGGTGACGTTGTCCTCACTGGTCACTCGGACGCCTCTTGGGTTGACGACCAGGCTACGCAGCGGTCGTCACAGGGTTACACATTCAGCCTTGGTTCTGGTTCAGTTTCCTGGCGTTCTACACGTTCGTCTTCAGTTCTCGGCTCCAGCTGTGAGGCAGAGATGTACGCCACAGCCATGGCTGCACAGGAGCTGCGCTGGCTCACCTACCTGCTGACCGGCTTGGGAGAGCGACCTCTTTCTCCTCCAGTTCTGTACGTCGACAACAAGGCCGCCATTGCCTTGTGTCAGGAGCACAGACTGGAGCACAGAACAAAGCACATCGCTCTCCGCTACTTTCTTGCTCGAGAGCTGCAGCAGCGTGGCCAGCTTCGTCTTACCTACGTGGCCACTCGGGCCAACACTGCTGATATATTCACCAAGGCGCTTCCGCCTGGTGATCATCAGCGTTTCTGCACTTTGTTAGGTCTTGTGCCCACGCTTCCTCACTTGCTGTAGGCTTTGTTTGTACCATGATTTATATGTATTCCTGCATGCTTGTTCTTGTAGGTAGATATCACTGTACTGTTGTTGTTACATATATATCTCTGCATGTGAACTGGCCTTGTGGCCTTCTTGCTTGTGCTCAGACTGCGTGGTGACGTTGTGATCCACCCTGAGCTTGCTTTGCACTTCCTGCCTGGCCTTGTGACCCTCTGTTCTCCCCCACTTTGCCTATGGGGATGTGTCAAACATATGTGTATATGTTGTTGTTTAGATAGGCTTTAGTGGGGTACTCACTGTGGGGTACAACCCCTTAGGTTTCATTCTTGTACCAAACCTCTCGACATTGCATTACAACTTTTGCCTAGGATTCTAACAATTATCTCGTCCGCAAGCAAGCTGCGGATATTGACCACCTGTCTTAAAGGGGGGGGGGGGGGGGGGGGGGGGGGGGTAGTGTAAGGAATTTTCCCGAATTCCTTATCGGGGTTGACTGCTACTCGTACAGCCCGATTTTCGGACTTTGCACGTTCGGCCGACATCAACGATGCCGAGGCTCCTCGGTCGCCAAACCTACACCCAACCTCGATCCCCGAGGTGCCACTATAATAGCACATGCCTTCATTGCATTGTCAGTTCGTTTGTGCTACGAGTAACACCATCAATCTCCAAACAAACTGTTACATTCAATGCGAAGTGTTACCGAATACCCCATCTTCCCGTTTGCCGCGTCATAAGTCATGGAAGTTCGCCAGTGTCGCACACATTTTGATGTTGGGAGGTGCTACAGCAGCAATTGGATAACTCGCGTGGCTAAGAATAGGTACTTTTATTCGCATATATATGCATCTTATACATATCAATGGCTGCATTTGTCATCGTTGACAAACCTAAACAAATCAATATCACATACCCCTGCGTGCAGGGCACATATCAGGGCTCGAGCCACCACTTGATTTGCTGCCTGAGACGGATGCACCAAATCCCAAAAGGTGCGTGATTGGCTATCGTCGCACAACGTTGCAGGCGTGGAGGATTGCGTGCCGTTGGATATGAAAACCGACGTTCCACATTGCACGAGACCGTTGATAGGCCGAGGGGCACCACAACACGCAGATGTCCCCACACTCAATCCGTAATCCCCAGGCGTCTCTGTCATTGCCTGCATAAGCCCATGCATCCGCGCATACAGTACTGTAGCATCATTCAATTCGTCACGTAAACCATCTAATGCAAGTGCTAACACAGCACTGTGCTCGGTTGTGATCAGATTTACTGCAACATTGCAGTTTGAGGGAGCTGGTTCGTCGAATAACTGGCCGCGTGCTTCAGCAATGGTTGCGAGGCCGAGGGGGATGCATCCAATCGGCAGCGTGTCGAATAGAATGAAGTGGCGGAAGCCCGAGGCATACAGAGTCTGCTTCAGTGGGGTTGTAAAGGTGGACGGGAAATGTGGGAGTGAGAGGGGACAGCTAGGGCGAGAAGAGTTGAGTGTGTGTGCACAGGGTATCAAGCAGACGACCATAACACTGGTGGCAGTGTTAGGAATGGGCACTGGATGGGTAGAAAATTGTGCAACCAGTCTCATTTATTTATGTGTTTCAAACCCACCAGCCACATCCCAATCCAGTCCTTACCCGCACAGCATCGGTGATCCCCATAACCACAGCGGTAACCAGGCGCTGTGATTGCGGAAGCATCTCAGCCAGTCGTAGCAGCTCAGAGGGGTCCATCTGACGGCCCATGTTGATCCCCTTTGCAAGAAACGCGATATAATCATTGGTACCCATGGATACGATGGCGACAGGCGGGGAGGAGGACTGCTAGTAGCATGAGGGGGAAGGAGAGGGGTGGGGCAGGGAAGGGGTAGAGGGGAACACGGATAGGCCAAGAAGTGAATGGGGGCATTGCTTCAAAGTTTGTAAGGGAGGAAGTGACTGGAAAGAGGATAAGTAGGCACACAGAAACAGGGCACAGGAATGAAATCAGACAAATGACTCGGATGGTAAGCAGCTAAAGCCCAGAAACGTCGCACTTGAGAGGCGAGCCACTCACTTGGTCTGCTGCTTGCAGCCCCCCAAGATCCAAAAACCGTGAGAGCTGCGCGGATAGCGCGAATCCCTGCACGCACCACCACGGATGGGTGGGTGAGCTTTACTAAATCTCTGTCCAAGAATCTGGGTCACAACACTTCTTTCACTCGGAACGAAAAGGGAAGCCTTCAGATATCCCTTTCTCCCAGAGGTACCGTTCTCCAAACCTCCTGACCTATGAGTCTCACCTTGTCTGGAGTGGAGGTGTCAAGCACACCCGCCCCTGAGCTGGCGAAGTTGAGCCCGCTTTGGGCGGCACTGCTGTTGATGCCAGGCTGGAAGGCCGCAGGGGCGGCGGGCAGCTTGAAGAATTCCGCTGCAAGGAAGAAAAAAAACGAGGAGCAGAGTGAGAATGGCATGTACCCTAATTCGTGCCTTGCTTGATAATTGTAAATTCACAAGGACCTGAATGATTTGCGTGGATGTCTGTCACTTACTCAGATAGTCAATAACGAGTTTGCCATCACTGAACCTCCCACTAGCGGGGATATAGTTCATTCCATAAGGAGGGAAATTCGCGCGGTAAAAGCTATCCAGGCGGCCATAGTTGTTGTTGCCAACATCCGAGAGCGAGTCGCCAAAAGTGTAAATCGCACCGAACCTCCTACTTGCTAGAGCGCATTTGGCGTTCACGCGATTCGTGTGCAAGCCGGTGATTGAAGCCTGTCTGCGGAGCTGATCCGTGAGAAGCGCGCCCCTGGTGCCGTAAATCGCGGCGAGACTGGCGCGATCGGCGCCGGAAGGAGGGACGCTGTTGGAGTCCGCGTCGGCCAGGCCTCGACCTCTGAAGCCGTGTCGGGCGGGCAAAGCGGAACCTAAGGCCGAGTCTGAGTGGACGGCAGCGCGGCAGTCCCAGGGCAGGAGAAGGACGGCTGCAATGAGCAGGAGGAGCACACGAGGGGAGGCGGAGGCGCGCGGGAGGGGCGGCTGCAGGCAAGCTTCGGCGGAGCTCGCCATGGGAGCGAGCGGTAATAATTTTGGCCTAGTTGGCGAAATTATCTGTACTTTATAGCGATTACACTGCTCGAGTCGAGACGCTAAATGTTCAGCTGCCACATTTTCGTTCGACGGACGAAGAAAAAGACCCGCGGCTCACGAATCAAGAGTCATGTCACAGCCTATGTCCCAGTCAAGGCAGGTCGAGCCGGGTGGGAGTACGATCGACATTTTGACAGATATAAGGGGCCATAGCTTATGCGCTTACGTGTGAAAGCGGACATGAGAGAGGACTAATAAGTACGGGTAACGACGAGAGGGGCTAATAGAAATTCTGTTTCCTAGTGATGGGTTCGGCTCGAACAATGTGCGGTTGGGACTGGTGCAGAAGACGGCGTGTGAACCTAATTGAGGAACTCGTGCGACGTGAACGAATTGGCGTTTCCGCGTCGTGGCGCACAAATCAAAATGTCGTCCAACTGGAACTTTGACATCGAGGACAAGAATATGAATCGTGCGATCGACTTCACGAGGCCCTCGGATTGGTTAAGGCGTCCAGGTGTCGCCAACGTCAGGACATAGTGTTCTTTTCGAATCGTCCAGCTCAACTGAGACAAATCTTGCGTTATGGAATGTACACCAAACAGCTTGTAAGCTAATGCCAACTAAATCCTGGCTCCCATTGCGTTACTTAACCCCTAAACAGAACGGGGACAGCTAAACATATGTTAGTGTGCTCGCATTTCAGGGAACTTGCTGAGAATGCGGGTGGCGTACTTCACTATAGTCATGTCTCCTGATCGCTTTAGCCGATGTAGAATGCGGAAGATGTCTATCGATCGAAGATACTCCCGGCATGCCGAATGTGAGCACATGTTGCCAAGGGAGAACAATGCTATCTTAACCGGTGACTGCGACTCCCCTCCCTCTCTCCGCGGAGTTTGTTGTTGACTCGTTCCAGTCACGACCAAGTCCACCAAAGCCTGGAACACACACAGAAAGGTCAAGCACATGAGAGAGAAAGATTTTTTCTTACAATGTGCAATACAAAACATCGAGTGCAACCAATTAAGATTTCCCTCATACATTTGCAGAGCACCCATGGGCCTCCACAGCTCCTTCAAAATCCACACCCACCTTCTCTCCTTGCACCACCTCCACCAGGCGCTCACCTGCAGCGCCCCCTGGGAAATGAGGTAGTGGCAGCGCTCCCCTCAGTTTCGCACCATGTTGCCCAGCGCCCTTTGGAGTCCACCCCCCTCCTCTCTCCCTCACCTCCTCCTCCCCCTTTCATCCTATCGCCACGCCCTCACCTGCAGCGCCCCCTGGGAGATGAGGTCATGGCCCCCTGAGTTGCGCACCATGTTGCCCAGCGCCCTTCAGACTACACCCTCCCCCTCCCCTCTCCTCCTCCCCCCCCCCCACTTCCCTCAATACCAGCTGCTCACCTGCAGGGCGCCCTGGGAGATGAGATCGTGGCAGAGCTCCCCTGAGTTGCGCACCATGTTGCCCAGCGCCCTTCAGATACCCTTTCATCCTCTCCTAGACCACCACAACCACCAGATGCTCACCTGCAGCGCCCCCTGGGAGATGAGGTCGTGGCAGAGCTCGCCCGAGTTGCGCACCATGTTGCCCAGCGCGCCTGCAGCGTTGGCCTTGATCTTGTCGTCGCTGCTGCTGGGCGGCCCGCTCTCCGCTGCTAGCAGCACCGCCAGGTGCGGGATGACTGGTCTCAGGGCGGCGTACAACGAACTGTTGTGGTATGCTGCATTGCCAATCTGTTGGGATGGGGAGAAGAAAGATGGTACAATGAGAGGCCGACGAATTGACAGGACAGGAAGAAGATAAATCGCAGTGGCAGCAGGGAAAGCACAGAGCAGAGGACGAATACAGCTATATGTATTAATCTGCCTTAGCAGATCGCACTCCTGTGCTGCATGCACACACACGCAATGCTGCACTCACCGCAAAGCAGGCGAACTTGCGTGTGTTCCGGTCATGGTCTGCGCAACACTCTATGAGGCGCGAGAGAATCCCCGAGTCCACCTGCCGTCGAGACAAACAGGGCCAAAACGGGATCAGCACATGTGAATGGCGACACACGTTGCCCACACACACAAGTGCACGCCTTGGATCACAGCACATGCCATAATGCCACCATTGGAACCCCCTCAGCACAGCACATGGGGAAAGCAGGCGCACCATGATGGGGTAGAAGTAGGAGGAGTGGCGGCACATGTTGCCCACGGCGTTGCAGGCCTTGGAGCGCACGCCAGCGTCAGGGTGCGCCAGGAACACCTCCAGTGCACCGTAGATGTCTGCCGTGGCTATGGGCTCGTAGTAGTCCTGTGGGGGGGAGGGAAGGATCACACAAGGGGATGCACGGTGAGCAACAAGTGGAATGAGTGGCGGAGTCTGTGGGATGTGGAACAGGGGTCGTCACAGCGCCACGGATAAGGGATTGGGGAACAACAAGCATGGGCAGAATCATGTGGCAGGTACGATTTCAGGCATAGGCAACAAACGACTCACCTCAGAGAGCCTTGAAAGGTGCGAGACGATGAGCAGCACGTCCATTACATACCCCTGCCCTTCCTCACTTCACGTCCAAATAAACACACAACATGACGCATGACTCCTATGGAAGGATGACTCACCTCAGAGAGCCTTGAGAGGTGAGACACGATGAGCAGCACGTCCATGACCACCTCCATCACGTACCCCTGCCCCTCCTCTCCCTCGCCCCCCTCCGCCCCCTCGCCCTCGCCCTCCTCGGGCTCCTCCATGCCGAACAGCTTCCCCATGAGCCCGGGGTCCAGCCCGTCGTGGCGCACCAGCAGTGCCGCTGCTGCGGGCGAGTGGTGTGTGATGCGTGAGAGCAGGTTGATGGGGCCGATGAGAGCTGGGCCCTGTAGTACTGCCAGTGATGCCAGCAACACTGGGATGGCTGAGGACTGTGAGGCACGTGAGGGGGGGAGAGAGAAGGAGAGAGGGGATGAGATGTTGCGACATTAAGGGGCTGATAGGGACGAGCAGGCGGATGGGGAGGTAGAATCAACTCAACCACAATTACGTCCTGCAGCATGGGAACGCAGCATGCTTCAAGCCCTATCCCACGCACCTCCTGTAGCATCTGCAGGTACTGAGGCTGCAGCGCCAGCAGCACCCGTGACAGCTCATCCATCTCCCCCCCACTGCCGCCCGACCTGCCGCTGCTGCCGCCCGCCGCCCCGCTAACTGCCGAAGCAGCAGGTGCAACACTAGTAGTGCCGCCCGCGCTGCTAGCCCCCCCAATAGCATCCCCTGCAACAACTGCATGGAAGGGGAAGAGAAGCACGTCCACCACCCCACACACTAGCTCCACCACCATATCCAGTGATACCGGCTGTGCTACTCCCTCCAAGCTTCCCTCCATCACCCACCCTGTTTCCCCCCACATCTGCCCGGCGTCTGCCCCTCCTCCCCCTCGCCCACCACCTCTCTCAGTTCCTTCCGCCCCCCCTCCCCCCTGCGCCAGTTGCATCTCCCCCCAGGGCCCCCCCTGGCAGTTGTCCCATGCCTGCAGGTGCGCCAGGTGGAAGGTGCCAAGAAGCTTCAGGAGGATGTCGATGGGATCGGGGCCGATGAGGGCGTCGTGGTAACCACCGGCTGAGAGGGAAGGGGGGGGGGGGGTAAAGGGAGGGGGGGGGGAAGGGAGGTGGGGGGAAGAGAACGCACAGGGGGAGATTGCGGAGGAGAGAGAGGTGATTGTGCAGGGGAGGAAGGAAAGCATCGGGACGAGCAGGAAACACGAAGTGGGATGAGAGGCTGGAGAAGGATGGGAATGGGGTTTAGGGAGAGAGAGGTGTTGAGTAGAGAGAGGTGTTTGAGAGAGAGTAGAGAGAGGTGTTTGAGAGAGAGTAGAGAGAGGTGTATCAGAGAGAGTAGAGAGAGGTTTATCAGAGAGAGTAGAGAGAGGTGTATCAGAGAGAGTAGAGAGAGGTGTATCAGAGAGAGTAGAGAGAGGTGTATCAGAGAGAGTAGAGAGAGGTGTTTGAGAGAGAGTAGAGAGAGGTGTATGAGAGAGAGTAGAGAGAGGTGTATGAGAGAGAGTAGAGAGAGGTGTACGAGAGAGAGTAGAGAGAGGTGTTTGAGAGAGAGTCGAGAGGTGTTTGAGAGAGAGTAGAGAGAGGTGTTGAGTAGAGAGAGGTGTTTGAGAGAGTAGAGAGGTGTTGCACACCGGTGGAGGGCCTCAAGGCAGACCTCGCCATATGCCACCCCGACTCAGGAGCCGTGTGGCTCATCGACGTAACGGTGACCGACCCCATCTCCTCCCAGGACGAGACGGCCAGGCGGGGAGTGGGGTGGGCAGCCAGGGCGGCGGCAAGGGCGAAAGAACATAAGTACCGCAACCGGCAGCAGTGGGTGGGGTTCATAGCAATGGCAGTAGAGACTTACGGGTGCTGCTCCCGCGCAGCATTTGAGTTGATGCGTCTATGTGCTGCTCCCGCGCAGCATGTGAGTTGAAGCGGCTATGTGCAAACCTGGCCGCGAAACGCCTTCACAATGCCGAGCCCTCATCAAGAGAGGCAACAAAATTGTTCCATTCGTACCGCCAAAGGTGGTCAATCGCCCTGCAGAGAGGCCAGGCGAACGCCCTATGCGCCAAGACCTTGTCGGCCTTCGAGGCCGAGGCACCGACTTCTGCCTACCAGGACGAGCCCCTTGTCACGGGCTGGACTTTGAGCTGCACATTCTCGAGCCGGACTTGGAGCTGCCTTAGGTAGCTCTCTTGTATGCTTGTGCTTGACTCTATAAACCACACCGATGTACTGCATGTTACATCCAATGAAGGACCATTCGAGGTGTTTGAGAGAGAGTAGAGAGAGGTGTATGAGAGAGAGGTGTTGAGTGGAGGGCTGGACACGTACCAGGGAGGCACATGTAGAGCCCCGCCAGCAGCCACATGACGCCCGTGGGTGACAGCCCCGCATGGTCCGGGGGCGCGCACCCCCTCTCCCCCGCCGCCCACGCCGCCCTCTCCCCCTCCACCACCTCCCCCGCTCCGCCCCTCCCCCCTCCGCCCCCTCCTTTCCCCGCACCCACACCCCCTCCCAGCACGCTCATCATAGAGACTAGCAGCCCATCTGCCAGCGCCTTTTGTACCGCCTGAGGGCCCCCCAGGCGCAGGGACACTGTGAGCATGCCCACATACCCGTCCCGCACCCCGTGCCACCGCCCTACAACCCTCCCCGCGCCCCCCCACAGTTCCCCCCACCCGCCATTACACGCCCCGAACCCCTCCATCGCCTTGGAATACCCCGGAGCGTGAGCAACCCGAAGCTTGGATGAGAGCAGAGCGAGCGGCGGGAGGTATTTCAGAACGAGGTCGGAGATATTTGAAGAGTCTGGCGCGTCTGCTAGGCTGCTGCTACCAGGGGTGCCGCCGAATGAGGCTCTACCGCCTCCCCACGACCCGCCTCCGAAGGACCCTCGGCGCTCCCCTGACTGTGCGAGCTCCAGCTCCATGATCACTGCCATGGCCAGCGCTGCTGCTGCTGCTGACGGCCGCCCTGGCCCCACGCCCATCCCCTGCTGCTGTTGCGTTTCGCCCCTTGCTCCTCTCGTTCTACTACCCCCTGCAGCTGCAGCACCACCCCTCGCCCCCTCTCTCCCATCCCTGCCCTCACCTGCAGATGCACCTTCCCCTAATCCGCCTTCCCCTGCCAGCCTCCCTAGAATTGCCAGCCTGACCTCCTGCACCTGCGAGTCTGACGTCAGCACCCACTTACCGCCCTGCAGGCCCCTCAACCCCAGCCCCTCCGCTACAGCCGCCACTACCAGACAAGCCAACGCTGCCCGGACGCTGCATTGCAAGGCGTCTTCAGGAGCAGCGGGAGAAGAGTGGAGGAGGGAGAAGATAGTCGCAAGCAGGGAATCGGGACCCCCTCCTGACACAATGCTCCCATCGTGCCCAGGGAAGGGGGCGTTTGGGATGGGTGCACGGGCCATGAGGCAGCAGAAGGACGGGGAGAAGAGGCAGCAGCGCAGAAGCAGCTGCAGCAGCCTTGGCAGCAGCACATTGTTCCCTCCTACCATGTCCAGTGCTGCAGCTATAGCCGCACTCGCACTGGCTCCATTCCCTATAATCACCTCAACGACTCGTCGCAGCAACCTCTCGCCCACAAACCTCCCCTTCTCTAGCTTCTCCCCCAGAGCCCTCCGCAGCTTCCCTCCCTTCTTCCCTATACCTTCCACGCCCTCCCACCCTGGTGCAGCCCCTAGCATAACTGCTAACGGGAAGCCTTTCCTGTCTCCACTGCTCCACTCCCCGCTGGCTGCCTCCATTCCTTCCACAGCTGCCCAGATCCCCAGCAGAGCTTGCAGACTCGCCTGCTGCCACTCCCCCGCCTCCTCTGCGTCAATCTTTTCAGCTGCCCGGCCGGCACCCCGGGCAGCAGTCCCGCCTCTTCCACCCTTCCTCTCCTGCTCTTGCGCAGCGAGGGTAAGTCCTTTCCCTGCAAGAGCAATGCAGCGGGCCATGTGCTCGGTGGCAGCCACTGCCTGTGCGCACGACAGTATCTCTGTATCCACGTAACTCACACTGCCCGCCCCTGCTGCTGCCCCTCCCCGCCCCCCTCCTCCGCCCTCACCTGCGGCTGCTCCCTGTGTGCCGCGTGTGCTCCTGTCCCGAGTGCTGCCCCCTGCCTTCTGCTGCCGCTGTGAGCCAGTGGACGGGGGCGCGGTGGCGGAAGGGGCGGGGGGGGAGGCTCCGGGGAGGCAGGCAGCGCGGACGGCAGCAGAGGAGGCGGCGAGGAGGAGAGTGAGGGAGGCCGTGGCGAGGTGGCACGCCTCGCCTGACTGCTGCGCTGGCCCTTCCAGCACCTGAGCGCAGACGAGGAAGGGAGGGACATTGGGGGCGGGAGAGGGGAGGGCGGGGGAGATGATGGATTGGATTCGAAGGGAAGGGAACGCACATGGGGCAGAAGGATTTTGGAGGCGACAAGGCACTGATTGCAAGAGAAGGAAGAGGTTATGAGAAACGGTCGCACGGCGACAGCGGCATGCTGCACCTTGGGGTATTTCTTGATGAACGAGAGAGCATTCTCCAAAAACGCGCCCTCCGTCTCCCGATCCCACTCCCCCTCCTCGCCCTTCTTCCCGCCCGCTCCCGCCCCTCCCCCCTTGCCCTGCCTCTCCTTCTCCCTCTCTTTCCCCGCCTGGCTGCCCGCGAGGGACGCTCTGAGGGCGAAGGCGCAGCGGAGCAGGGCCAGCGCGGGGCACAGCAGAGGCTGCAGGCGGGCGGATCTGTCTGCGAGACACGTGCCGAGCAGGGATAGGACGGCGGGGAGCACGTCGTAGTGCAGGCAGCGGACGTCCAGAGGAGGGTCGGAAGGGTGACGGTCGGTGACGAGGGATGCCAGGGAGTGCAGCGCGCTCGCTGCTGCTGCTATGGCGTCACTGGTAGCCGAAGGGGAGGGGACGGGAGTGGAAGGACGGGGAATTGAGGGGAGCGGAGGGATGGGAAGTGTGGCATGTGCTACAGCGACCGTGTGTGCAAGAATCCTTGCGAAATGAGGCACAAGTGTGAGTAGCGCAGGTGGGGCACTCACGGGGATGCAGAGGCAGCCTTTGGGAGGAACGAGCGAATCACCTCCAGTCGCCTCAGCAGCCGGCTCCTCCCTGTTGGGATACCACGGAAGCGTGCACGGGATACAACGAGGGCATGGCATGCATGAGTCGTCATGGGGCATGGATGATTGATTCGATGCATGCATAAGATCACACAGAGCAGTCGTGGGAAGGCCAAGCCCAGAACGGCAACAGCGCACAGTGACGAGTGCAGGCGGGTTGGGAGTGGCTGCAGGACTGGTGGAGCGAAGAGGCGGAATCAACCTGTGGCTGCTGGCTGAGCGGGAGGCGGCATCTCCTCTGCTGCTCGCGCTGCTCTCGCCCCTCGTGGCCCCTCCTCCCCCTGCTGCCTCTGCTGCTGCTGCGCCTGCTGCCGCTGCTGCTGCGGCTGTGCCGGTGTCTGGGCGGGCTGAGCAGGCGGGGCGGGGCCCTTGGCGGGCATGAGGTTCTGGGGAGTGGCGCGGGCCTCTATGTTGCGCAGAGGCAGCTCGCGCGCCTTCTTGCCTGGCGGACACGACACGAGCGTCGTGCCCCCCGCTGCTGGCGCCGCCTTGGCGTCTGGTAGAGGCACAGGGGAGGGGGGAGGAGAGAAGGGAGGGGAGAGAAGTGAGCTGAGTGCCAGGTACGACCTTGCCACGCAGTGCAAGCAGTTGATTGCACACTCACAGCAAGGACCTAGCGATCAGAATGAGAGAATGATTGGCATGCATGGGCAAGGTCACTGGGCAGAGGGCTCCAGTCCTGGGGGCTGACCTGGTGCAGCGTTGGCGTTCTCCTTGGCGGCGGACGGCATGAGCGGGTGGGGGAGGAACGTGCTGGCACGCGCATGCCATGCTGCCCTGCATGCTCTCTCCATCGCCTTCTGTGCTCGCTCCTCCTGCCATTGCCATTTCGATATTCATTACCATGCCAGTGCCATTGAAATGTCAATGCAGTTGCCATGCACAGGCCCATGCAGCACACAAACATCCATGAGTATCAACGCAATTCCTGACAGGCCGTGCAATATCTGACCAGCATGGACAGCAGAACGAGCACGCCACGGCCCCCATCGTCACCTGACACCCCTCCACCCAGCACCCCTCCACCCAGCACCCCTCCACCCAGCACCCCTCCACCCAGCGCCCCTCCACCCAGCACCCCTCCACCCAGCACCCCTCCACCCAGCACCCCTCCACCCAGCACCCCTCCACCCAGCACCCCTCCACCCAGCACCCCTCCACCCAGCACCCTCCACCCAGCACCCCTCCACCCAGCACCCCTCCACCCAGCACCCCTCCACCCAGCACCCCTCCACCCAGCACCCCTCCACCCAGCACCCCTCCACCCAGCACCCCTCCACCCAGCACCCCTCCACCCAGCACCCCCCACGCAGCACGCCCTTCCACGCAGCACCCGTACCCACGAGGCCATCCCCTCACCCTTGCTTGAATCTCCTCCGCGGTCTCCTTGACAAAGGGGTGCTCCAGCAGCGCGGGCCACGTGAGGCGGTTCTGTGGCGTCTTGTTGAGCAGCCCGTGCAGGAAGTGCTTGAAGCTCGCGCTCATGGCGTCGGGGTACTTCACCGGGTCCTGTGCAGGGAAGCATACGAAGTTGAAGAAGGGAAGACAATCCGTTGTTGAGATGTCCTAAATGGATTGGTGAGAGGAACAATGTGAAGTGAGAAGGGGTGAGAGGCCCATAGGATGACGAACTGGGGAAAGAACTGGAGAAAAAAGGCAATCTCAGGGCTTGCCTTGATGATGTGGTTGATAAGCGTGTAGATGGAGTTGGTGTAGAAGGGCGGCTGCCCCACGTAGAGCTCGTACAGGATGACGCCCAGCGACCACAGGTCCACCGTGTGGTTGTACGGCTGCTCCTGCACCAGCTCCGGTGCCATGTACAGCGGCGTGCCTGCTCGGCAGTACAGGAGAGGACAGGGCAGGAGGCGAAAGAGAGAGTGATGGTCAACGCTGAATGGAGCCTCGAACTGCACCACCTCGGGCGGCATGATGTTCCTTTGTATGGATTGTTTGTGGCGTAGCGTGGTGGTGCGGTTCGACGTAGCGCGGTGTTGCACGGCATGGCGCACCTTTGATGGATGTGAGCACCATGGTGTTGCACGACATGGCGCGCGCAAAGCCAAAGTCGCAGAGCTTGATGATGCCCCCCGCGCCCACCAGGATGTTCTGCGGCTTCATGTCTCTGTGGATGATGCGGTTCGAGTGCAGGTAGTACAGCGCGCGCACCTGCCTCGCGCGCGGATGGGGAAAGGGGAAGTGGGGAGGGGGAAAGGGGAAGTGGGGAGGGGGAAAGGTAAGGGGGACGCGCAAATGTTTTGGGCAGCGGGGGAGGTTGCAAGTGTGGGGAGAGAGAGGCTGTGTGTGGACGAAGCAGGGAAGGGTAAGCTTCTGGGCCGCGGGACTAGCGACATGGAATGTTAGTGGCTGCTCATTATGAGTTAACTAGCTCACTGTAAGCTCCTCTTACCAGTTGCTTGGCGATGACTTGCACTTGCGCCTCGGGTAGCGCCTGGTCGTTCTGCAGTATTTCGAACAGCTCGCCCTGCCGCGGACGGAGAATGGACGGTCAGGGAGAGGAAATGGGGAAGAGAAGCGCGGGATTTGGAAGGAGGATGGGGATGAACAAGGGGCGCATGTTGCGGGGGAAAGAAGAGGGTGTGGGCGAGGCTGAGAGGGAGGTTGAAGGGGAGGCTTGCCGGGGAGGCTGGGAGTGGCTCGAGGGGGAGGCTGATAGGAGGCTGGGAGGGAGGTTGGAGGGAGGCTGGAGGGAGGTTGGAGGATGAGAGAAGATTGAGGGAGAAGCTGGGAGGGAGGCTACCTCACCTGTGCGAACTCCGTGACGACGCAGAATTCCTGCGGGGTCTCGAAGGCGTCGAGCATCTCGATTATGTTCTCGTGCTTCAGCTTCCGGAGAATCTGATGACAGTGAAGGTGAAGAAAACGTGAAGAGAATACAAGCTATTATTAATTAAGGGCTTAATGTTTGGGAGTCCTGGTTCAAGCAAAGCGGCAAAATGCTCGAGTGATCAATCCAGCGGAATGCAAAAAGCAGAGTTGAAGCGGGAATTCTGTACCTCGATCTCCTGCCGTAGGTTCTTTATGTCCCTCTCGCTTTTCCCGTGCTTCAGAATGAATTTCATTGCCGTCATCTGCAGCGAACGCAGGCCAGAAAGTTGAGTCAAGATCCACCTAACTTAGAGACGTCAGAATCGTCCTGGATTGCGCTTTCGCGTTCCCTCACCTGGCCAGTGAACTTTCGTCGTCCCTTGTACACCTTGCCGAACGACCCCTCTCCTACTAGTTCTATCACATGGTAGTCTTCCAACCCCATTGTATCAGTCTATGATCGACAATTGACTAGGTCTAGTTAGTCGCATAACTTAGATGTAGTGGTGGATCCGGAAATAGAGAGCAAGCCTCAGCTTACTCGAAGATCTGACCACGGCCTGTTAGAAATCCTCAGAAGGCGACGGCGAGATGCAATTACGACTAAATGCGACGAACTACGCCTTGTGCGGCCCGACACGAGCGCGTGCAATTAGAGATATTTGAGAGAGCTATGACACCATGGCCTTCATACAACACCACGCCCACATATTGAAAGAATCTTGCAAGCTCAGCTGAGGAGTCAAATTCTGGTGGATGTCTGTTATGGGGGATCCAGGGAATGCTGTCGCAGCACAAGCAGGAATTACATGGAATGGGCATCCCATGGTCGCCGCGCAGAATTGAAACGTACCAGCGTTCCCCGCCAGGCCAGGAAAGAACGGTTCATAAAAGCGCGGGAAAGTTGCGGCTCCGCAGTGGTCTGGGGCAATATTCAAACGTAAACAGCTGTAAAAACTTGACCAATTGGTTTGCATCACAATAGAGAGTAACAGCAAAAAACTGCTTTTGAAAATGAGTCAATCTTCGTAGAATATTCCATTACTCCTATAATTAGACGTTAGAAAGTTACCTACGCTTCCTATGACATCAATCAATCCCCATTTTAACTTGTTTGGGGGAAACATGAAGCAAACAGTGCTTCACATTTTCCTATGTCAGTTGCAGTCGATGCTACAGCTGCTAATGCCATAATCTGTCCAAACTCATCCATCTTCTTGTTCCTCTCCTCCAACAGCTCATCAAACCTCATATCTTCGTCGTCCTTCTCCTCTGCCTCGTCCTCCACATCGTCAATAAGAACTGGTTCAGAAGCGTTCCTGAAAGAGCCTGCCCATTGACCTGGTTGGCGATGTGAAGCGCTAACAGTTGGCACCGATTCTGTTGGCGCCACATCATCCCACACCCCACCGCGCATGCTCCTCCTCCTGCCATGCCAGGCATCCTCAACCTCTCCCTCTCCTGACTCCAACCCCACTTCCCTGGGCCTCTTCTCACCCACCTCACGCATCCCTCCACACTGCTCCCTGCCTGGCAGCTGATTCGTGGATCCCATCACCACAGGATCAAAGTCAGCTGCCATTACAGCGACCTCCTGCACCCACCGCTCCCCCCCCTTGGCTGCTCCAAATCGCTCCTCCCCTGCTTGACGCCCAGCGAAGGGTTTAGTTGAAGGGAAAGTTGGATCACGTGGTAGGGCTTTGGATTGTGATGCTCTAAGAAACGACCCTGTGGGAGCATCACCAGCTGAAACAGCAGGAGCACCAGCCCCGGCACTTTCTTCCTCACTCCTCCTTCCAAAGCCGTCAGCTGCCACAGCACCAAGCATCTCAAACCCTGCCTCTGCAGCTCGCACACTCGCCTCCTCCTCGCCTTCACCCCCTTGACAGTCCCCCCTTGCATCCCGCTCCCCATGAGCATCAGAGGGACCCCAACGCCCACTCAGGGTGGCACAGGAGGCCAGTCCGGAAAGCTGCGTGGCATCGCAGGTGAAGATCTCCTGCAGCAGCTCTGCATTGCTGGTGTACCGAGCCAGAGCCTCGGCCCGAGCCTGCTCAGCAGCTTCGTTAGCCTCACGGAGTCTCTGTAGGCGGAGTTTGTGTGCCCTTGAGGACTCCTGGTGAGGGAGACGGGACGGGAGATAGGGATACAGGGGGAACATGTGAGCATGTGGCAACATTGAGACTCAGGGCACACTGAGAAGAAGGAACACAACCGAAGTGGCATTTGCATCACAAAGTGTTAGGAAAGAGCAGGTGTAATCACAACACAACAACAGAACCACAACGGCAAGAAGTTACAAGCGAGCCCATGCACGGAGTGGGGCAGCACGCACCGCAGAGCACTGGGACAGCACAGCCTGCAACGCCTTCATCTGCAGCTTGCGTCGCCTCTGCTTCTCCCTCTCCGCTGCTGCCGCTGCCGCCGCCGCCGCTGCTGCTGCTGTAGCCGCTGCAGCCTTGGCATCAGCAGCGCCTCTCCCCGGCACTGCTTGCTGTAAACCCACTGCACCTGCTTTCACCTCTGCGATGGCGCCACCTGGCACAGCAGGACTTCTCTTGATCCCCATAGATCCAGCACCCTGCCCTGCTGGCCCAGGCGCTGCTGACCCAGGCGCTGCCCCAGAGAGGCCAGTGGAAGCACCACTGGTTCGGTTCTCGGCCTTTGCTGCCGCTGTGGGGGTCGCTTGTGCGGCTGGCCGTTTGGGAAGAGGGGGCGGCGAGGTGAGACGGGGCAGGCGGGACGAGGAGAGGGCGGGAAGCTCGAGGGGGTTTTGAGATCCAGCCTGTGCTCGCCTTGCTTGAGGTTGCTGCGCCCGCTGCTGTGCCTGTGCCTGTGCCTGTCCCTGTGCTTGTGCATTTCCGTGTGCCTGTGCCTGTGCCTGTGCTTGTGCCTGCTGCTGCATCTGCTGCAGTTGCGCTCTCTGCTGTTGCTGTGGCTTTGGCACTAGCTGCTGCTGTTGCTGCACCTTCCCGTGCGGCTGTGGGACCTGCACCGCCTGCACCTGTCCCTGTACCTGCCCCTGTTTCTGCTGCAAAAACCCTTCCACCTGCTGCTGCAACCGCTGCCTCTGCGCATTAATCTGCTGCTGCCCCTGCTGCCCCTGCTGCCCCTGCTGCACCTGCGCTTGTGCTTGTGCCTGCACCTGTGCCTGTGCCTGTTGCTGTGCCTGTTGCTGTGCCTGTACCTGTGCTTGTGCCTGCGCCTGTTGCTGAGCCTGTGTCATCCTCGCCTGTGCTTGCTTGGCTGCTGCACTCATAGGGGGTTTCACCTGCTGCCCTGCTCCCCCTGCCACCCCCGTCCCCCCTGCCATCCCCGCTCCCCCTGGCATCCCCGCTACCCCTGCCACACCAGGCAGCCGCAGCTGCCCACCCCCTTGCGCCTGAGCCACTGCTGCTGGCACCTCTGCACCCCCCTGCCTCTGCGCCTGCGCCTGTCCTCTAGCCTGCGCCTGCTGCGCCTGCAAAGCGCTCTGGTTCTGCACTTGCGCCTGTGCAGGGCGGGACGAGTTTGCAACCTGAGATGAGTTGCCCTGCTGAGCCGAAGAGTTGAGGTGTTGCGGAGGGTGCAGCTGATACAGCGGCAGCAACGCAGGGGGCAGCACCTGACGCTTGGGAACCAGGGGCTTGTGTTGGGAGTGGTTCTGTGCATGCATGGCGGCGCTCTGTTGTTGTTGTTGCTGCTGTATTTGCATTTGCTGCTGCTGCTGAAACGTTTGCGAGAGCAGTTGCCTCTGCTGAGGCGTGAGCTTCTGCAGCAGCTGGTCCTGTTGCAGCGCTCTCTGCTGTGCCACACTCAGCTGCTGGCCCACCTGCGCCGGCGCTGCCTGATGTGCCTGTCTTAGCTGCTGCACTGGTTGCTGCTGTTGATGCTGTTGCAGCTTTTGCTGTTGCTGTTGCACTCCAAGCTGCTGTTGCTGGTGCTGTTGCCGCGGTAACAGTGGCGGATGAGAGTGGTTCTGCTGCTGCTGTGGTGACGAGGTCTGAACTTGCTGGAGCATTTCTGCCTGCAACTGCTGCTGCTGCTGCTGCTGCTGCTGCTGCTGTTGCTGTTGGGCGTACTGTTGCGCCTGGCGCTGCTGTTGCTGCTGCAGCAACAACGGCTGCAGTTGCTTCATCAGCTGCTGCTGTGTTTGCACCTGCGAATTTCCCTGCTGTCCGTGTTGCCCCTCTTGCTGGTGCTGCTGCTGTTGTTGCGGCTGCTGTCGATGTTGCTGCTGCTGCTGCTGTTGTTGCTGCAGCTGTTGCTGCTGTTGCTGCTGAAGTTGCTGTTGCCGCCGTTGCTGCAGCTGCTGCTGAGTCGCTTGCATGGGCTGCTGCGCCGGTGAAGGGAAGCTTCCCGGAACTTGCAACCCCTGCTGCTGCAGAGCTTGCATTTGCTGCGCTGATTGCTGAGCCTGCTGCGGGGATATTCTCGAAGCGAGTGGTGACGTTTGGTGCTGAAGCTGCTGCGGCTGCTGTTGCGCCTGCTGCTGCCCCGCTGCCTGCACTGGCCGAATGGCTATAGGTCTCGGTTGCTGGTGCACGCGCGGCGGGAGGGGGTGCAGCAGCGAAGGCTTCTGCGGCGTGTGCTGCTGCTGCTGCGCCTGGGGTTGTGAGTTCTGCTGCTGATTCGGCGTTTGACCCGCCTGTTGCGACTGCATCAATTGCTGCTGCTGTGCTTGGAGCTGTTGCTGCCTTTGAGTTTGCAGCGCCTGCTGCACCTGCTGCGGGGAAGGCTGCGGCGAAGCGGACACTTGACCAGGCGCCAGTTGCGGGGAAGGGGCGGCTTGTAGCGGCGGCTGAGGCGCTACCCGTGCTGACATTACCTGTGCAATCCGCGGAACTCTACCGGGCGCAGGCGCAACTGGCCGCGATGCGGAAGCTTGCGAAATCGCGGAGTTCCCGCTTGCGCCAGATGCGACGGCGGAACTAAATTGCGCTGCCTGATGGTTCGCGGAAATGAGTCCCGCTTGGGGGATAGTTGGGGGGAGAACGGAGGACGGGGCGAGGAGGGACGAGGATAAGGGTGGTTGAGAGGGGAGTGTGGAGGCGAGAAGGGAATTTCCTGGTAGGGAGGGATTCGAGTGCCCGTCCATGGAAGTAACCAGATCCAATCGAAGGGATTAGAAGATACCCGATGCTGGTAAAAACGCGACTCTTGCTGTAACGACGGCAGACCCGCTTGCCGATTTCGTCGATATGTCGTCAAATGTTGTTATTCGAGCTGCTGCTGCTCGCTAAGAAAAAAACACGATCCTTCGGATGCGGCCGTGATCTAGCGACGGCAACGGTCGCGGAGACTAATGCGATCGATCTAACGTGTGCTGCTCGAGGGGCGTAGACCGAAACTCCGGCTATCGTGAACGAAAAGAGAATGTTGACGGTAGAGGTAAGACAACTCCGCAGGGCTAGCTGACTGAAACCACGGATGGTGCTACCCTAATGCGTGACGACTATTATCTGCGACAGAACGTCGAAGAAGAACTACCGCTTTAAACTACGCTGTCTTGGTCTCCAACCTCGCCGCAAATAACGGACCACGATCCACGTGTCGACGACGACGTTCTAGAAGGAACACCTGCGCGAGGACAAGAGGAAACGCAGCAAATGGGAGGAGAAACAGAATGGAAGTAAGATTAACGTCATGGTTGAGAAACACACGAAACAACATGGCTGAAGCAGCGATAAACTTGTCGTAATTATGCAAGTTAACTAGACGCTAGGGGCCAGTGTTGATAGTAACCAGTTTATTCCATCGAGCAAGGCAAGTGCAGAGACGATAAGAAGACAATAAGAGCAGCGATGGTGAACGGGGGAAACTCGAGGAATAAGAGAGGAAGCAGCCTAAGTCACGGATCATGTTGGTTTGGAACGATTGACGACTAAAACGACACGAGAGTCGAGACGGCGCAAACCAAGCTAAGCAACTACGGGAGCAATCGATTAGGTCTAAACACCAAGTGCACAGGGGATTGCGGCGGCGAGTTATAAAAGCAGGGAAGCGAACAGGCAAGTGGGGAGAGGTGCTCGGTGTTGACTGAACCTGGTGGGTTGGGCGGTTCGAGCCACGTCGGACATGGTGGAGCACAGCCGTGGGCGTGCGACTGCGACTGCGAGTGACGATAGAGCGGAGGGAGCGGCAGGCAGAAGCAAGAGGCTATAGCTGAGAACAGCTGCACAAGCAGCAGCGGAACCCCCTAAAAGATGACTGCCTCTTTTTATCTGACAATCCAACCTGCTGCCCACCATGAGGGTTTTACCGCCGCGATCCATACCCAAGGCCTGGAAAGTTTCGGCTGAGATGCTGGAGATGGATTCTCGGCCGTCGATAGAGTTTCGACCTGCCCGAGGGTCTTGACATCTACAGTGATCGGCGAAAAAGCGCCCAGCTCGTTGGAGTGAATATCCGTCAGCTCGTGGATGTGTGTTCTTCGCGCTGTTCGTTTGTTACCCGATCACCTGCACTGAAGGATTGTTGACTGAACACGGGATTCCACAGTACCACTGATCACTTCGGCTAAAAACACTCATCAGGTAGGTGTCTCTATATCAGGTTAGCTGGATGACAAGACATACCCCAGTGCAGATAACATAACAATAGCATACACTAATAATTTTGTATCTGTTGGACCACAGTTCCAGAACTTATTGTTTCAACCTATGTGTTATCTACGTGGAGGGGCCAAAAATCCCAATGCGTCATACGTGTCCCTTAGTGTGCGGTCAGCAATCTCATTGGCCCATGCTGCTCCCCCTGCCAGCACCTCATCCAGATATGCTGCATCTGCTGTCACCTCCTCGTACCGTTTCTGGCAAATGCGAGAGAGCAGCGGGGAAAGTGAGAGGGGTGGGGGGGAGGGGTAAGATGAAAGCCGAACGACCTCTTGTAAAAAAACAGAAATGATGCAGGACAGTGCTTAATAAAACTAGTGGACACATGGCTTGCCTGGATTGGCTCGAGGTGAGCGACAAGGGCGTCTGCTAGCAGCGGCTTGAACTGCCCCCAGCTCAGCGCCGCCACCTCCTGTTCCACCTCCTGGCTTGCATACAGGGGGTTGGGCCACAAGAGAGGGGGACAGGAAGAGGGAGGAGCAAGGAGAGAGTAAGGAAAGAGAGGAAAGGGCATGGGTCGAGGAGAGCGGTCCTGGGCTTTAAAGCGAGGGTACATATTCAACTTCGCCAATAAGAGCAAAATTTCGGTCAGGTTAACGACATCATACATGCCAGTGCAAAATTGAATGTGGATGCTCCCATTTGTCACCTCTCCAATCACCCTCTTCCATCTCCGTGTCCTCTCTCATTTCCACCCTCGCCCCCATCTGTTCCCCATTCTTGTTCCCTGCCCTTGCCTCTGCCCTCTCGACTGACCTCCTTGGTTCTCCCGGTGACGATCTGATAGATGGACAGCAGGTTCTGGCACTCGGGGCGCTCCGGATTGCCAAACTCCATGCTGCACAGGGGTGGTTGAGTGAGGCGGTGCCACGGGGAGTGGAGTGAGGAGGGAGGGGTAGAACGAAGCGAGGAGGAAGATGCAGGTGCGAATGAGTACAGTGCCTGAGTGAGGTGTGAGGAAAGAGGGTGCGGAAAGTAGGGACCTGAACGTCATTCCCTCCTCCTCCTTTCTTCCTTTCTCCCTTGCTCCGCTCCCATCTTCCCACTCTCCCCCATCAGAACAGTGGCTGCCCACCCCATTGCCCCTCTCACCCCACCAGCCACCCTCCCTCATCCCATCGCCCTTTCTCACCCCATCACCCTCCTTTACCCCACAAACCACCCTCGCTCATCCCCCACCAGCCACCCTCCCTCACCCTGTGAAGCTGTCAGTCTTGCAGCGCTTGATCTTATTGGCTATCACCTGCTCAGCACGGCGGCGAGGGAGGGACGGAGGGTACAATGAGGATGACAGGCTAGGAGTGGTGGAGGAAGAATCGGGAGGAGAGAAGAAAGGATGGGAGCATGGAAGAAGAGGACAGGACATGGAACGAGAAGGAAATGGCAGTAATGGGATGGGAAGAGAGCAAACGAGGGATATAAGTAGAAGAGGTGGAAGAGAGAGGGCGTACTTCTGGGGGGTCGAGCAGGTTGATTCGGGACATGTCAGATGGGGCCGACTTGGACATCTGCATGCACGGTGGTGCAGTGACAGGAGGTGGCACATGAGAGCGGAGGTGAGAAGGGTGTTGTGAACGGGTGCTGATGCGTGCAACAGAATCCGACATGCATGTGGCATGAAAATGGGATACTGATGGCACATGAAGAGGGGTACAGGCAGGTTTACAAATGATTCCGCATGGAGTAAATCTGTGTACTGGCAAAGGAAACTGCTGACGTGGAAATGAAAGGAAGGGGCAAACATAGACACTCTCAGAGTGTGTACCTTGGAAGTGCCGTCAGTGAGGGACATGATGCGAGCACCAGCAGGGGGGATCATGGCCTCTGGCACCTTGAACACCCTGCCGCCCCGCCTGTGCACGGAGGGAAGAAGGGCGACAGGCAGCAGAGGGGGAAGAGCAGAAGCTGCATCACTATTCACAGGGCAGACTTGCAGAGCAGCACGCGTGGGGAGGGATGTGGGAAAGTCCGTGAGCTCGTGCTGGGGTGTGGCTTATAGCGAAGAGCCATGCATGCGAGTGCGGTTGTGGTTTAAAAAGGCCCAATGCACGTGCGTGTGGAGTGGACTAGGGGACGTACCCTCCGCGCTTCTTCCACTTGCGGCCGCCGTAGAGGTTGTTGACCCGCGCTGCCACGTCCCTGGTGAGCTCCAGATGCTGCCTCTGGTCCTCGCCCACTGGCACCACATCGCACTGCACGTGGCATGGATTCAAGGGACACACACATGGCACGCACACATGGCACACACACATGGCACACACACGCACCTGGGCGGTGTATTAGCACCTGGAGACGCACCTGGGCGGTGTATTAGCACCTGGAGAAGCACCTGGGCAGAGCAGTGACGAACCTGGTAGAGGAGAATGTCTGCCGCCATGAGGAGCGGGTAGGTGAGCAGCCCTGTTCCCACGTCCTCGCCCTGCACGCACGCAAGGGGGGGCAGCGAGAGAGAGGGTGCAGGGCGAGAGGGTGGACAGAACAGGTGTGCACTGAAGGGTGTCATTCGAGCAAAGAGGAGTCTCACAATAAAAGCTGCTCTGACAAACACAGTGTAGGTGGTAAGCACAGTCCACAAGCCTGCAGGTGGGGAGGCTTACCACCTCGCAGGCTTTCTCCTTGAACTGATACATTCTAATGAGCCATGACATGAATTGACTCAAAACTCAAATGTGCAGTCTCACCGCCTTGCATGCCTTCTCCTTAAACTGGATCATCTTGTTGAGCCATGACATGATGGCTTGGCTCAAAAGTGCAAGCTCACAGCTTTGCATGCATTCTTCTTGAACTGAAACATTCTGGTGAGCCACGACTTTATGAAATTCGGTTTACTTCAAGACTCACCGCCTTGCGTGCTTTCTCCTTGAACTGAATCATCTTGTTGAGCCACGACATGGGCGTGGTGCATGACAGCAGCCACGTCAGCTCCGCGTGTGCTCGCACGTGTGACTGCACAAACACGGTGGCCTTGGATGGGTCCACCCCGCACGCCAGGTACATAGCTGCTGCTGTGCGCGATGAGCGTGATAGGTCGTCCACGTCATGGGGTAGGGTGATCTGCAGGCGGGGAGACAAGAAGGAATGATGGGATTATGTCGCGGGCAAAAGGAGTGAGACGGGACGAGAGAAGGAGACGATGATCCAGGGAGAGAAAGAAGCGACAGGGAGTAGGCGGAACAAGGTGCGTAATGGTTGGATTGATGAGAGAAGGCACACGGATTGGAGAGGAAGTACGAGGGTGTGGGATGGGGAATGGGGAAGCGAGTGGGAGAATGAAGGTGAAGAGTTCTGGAATGAGAGGTAAAAGCAACGGCCGGCAGCAACAATGCGGTACCCTTCTTCCCTTTTGCAATGCTATTTGCAATGAGGACCCGAGAGCAACAGCAGGCAGGGACAACGATGCAAAGCTTAATGCAAGGAGGATCAGTTTGCAGCGCGTCGTGCAAACAGGCCTCTACAGCAGCACTTACTGCGTGCAGGTCGACCACGAAGAGGAAAGTGTCACACTCGTCCTGCACTCACCCATGCACACGTACATGCATTAACGCATACGCATGATATGCCATACCATGCCGTGTCACACCACGCCACACCATGGCATAGAATAAGGGTGAGAAATTGATGGAGTTATGTCGTCAAGACACACCACGCAGACATGATCAGAGCTACAAACGTTGTCACTGGAGAACATGGAAGTTTTCATAATGAAGATAACTCCTGGATACTCCATCCCTTAAGGCTCCAGCTAATGGCTGACGCACCTGCAGCGGGATCCAGTTCTTGATTGCTCCCAAGTAGTTTCCCAAATGAATGCTTCCCGTCGGCTGGACGCCTGAAACGAGACGCTTCCTGAAGAGTACAAACGAGAAGGAACAAGCGGAGGAGCAAATGCGGGGCAAACCAATTCATGCGGAACGAATAACTCATGCGCAAGGCTCAATCCGGTATCAAACCAATTCAGATACAACGGTTCACCAGACGTCCCCAAAGCAGCAACCCAGGCGGATTTCGAGAATTCCTAGAAATCCGGTTGTTCTTTTGCCACGTGCTGAAGCATTGCCTGCAGCCGACCCACTCCAGCGCCCTTCGCTCGCTCACCTCACAGCAGCTTTCCCCTCGCTCGATCCTGCTCCGCCAGACTCGGCCGAAACGGACGGCTCAGATGCTCCTTTCGTGGGTGTTGCCTCTGCGACGGACACGCCGCTGCTTCCGCCCTCCGCGCTCGACGCTGCTGCTCTTATCGACAAGCAGAGGGTTCTAGAATCTGTTGATTTGAGGGTTACGGGGCTGTGGCGTGGAACAGGGGTTATGGAATCTGCGGACGAAAGGAACGGTCTAGATGATAGTAGGAGAGACTCAGCATACTGTGAACGTGAAATTCGTGAGACTAATCTTCTAGGCGACGACGCTAATGCGGAAGTGGCAGGCGACGATGTTAATGCGGCAGTGGCAGGCGACAATGACGTGGCTGCCGATTTGATTGCTCCGAGACGGAATGGCGACCGAAGCGCAATCATGGCTGGCAAGCGGTGAAGCCGGCCAAGAACAAGCATCCAGCGCAAGAAATGCAGCTCCGATCGCCTCCTAGCCTAACGATGTTGAAGCACCAAAACAAAAGCCTAGCCTACTTAAAAAAAAATGGCTTTGGGATTCATGGGGCTGACGGCAATCTCAAGGTTGTTCGCAGAGCGACACAACAATTGCATCGCAGGAGCTGCGCGTGCGACCCAGCATTGGGGTTGTGCGCCCCTGCTCAGATTGTGGTGGCGAGTATTTCGTCCACGTGTCCCGAAGTGCCACCACAAATTGCGTTCGCGATTTAGAGGCTCAAAAGAAGTACTACTGGTATCAGCAGCAAGATTTATATTAAAACGCTTTCCATTGAAACGACCATCCCCATTCAGTTTTGGCTCATTTGTGGTGTTTTGCTGCTTAACAAACATTATAAGATACGGTACTACATATCAGCTCAGTCATACATGTCATCATATCCATAGCTACATTCTAGTCGTCACAGACGCCTCTGCTGCTTTCGGCTCATGGACAAGCTCAGCAGCATTTGGTTTCAACAAAGCATGCAAAGAGGCTCCCAAGGGCTTGCTGGCAGACAAAGCGGTGTGGGAACACATGCAGGGGCATAAGATGATGCTGAGTGAAGGGAGAGGATGGCATTGGTGGGGAACTGGCATGGTACCAAGTCGGTGGCAATTTTCGAGAATAACAAGGTAACTTGCATTGGGAAAGTGGATTGGCAAGGAGTGCAGAGGCTTACTTAACACGAAGCCAGGGGGCAGCCGGTGCAATTCCCCTTGCAGACATATCAATGCTCGGAGCAGCAGATGCAGTGGTGGGGGAGGGAGGTGAGGAGGCATGGAGGCTCGTGGCAGGGGGGAGGGGGAGGGTGAGGTGGCGGATGAAGTGAGTGAAGCACGATTGCAGGGCACTGCTCTGCTGCTCCGCTGGTGCAGGCAGGGAGGAGGCAGGGGAGGAGGCATGGGGAAAGGGAGAATGGGGGGAGAGGCTCAGCAGGAAAAGGGAGGGAAGACGCACAAGGATGGATGCATGAGTGCCAGGAACATGAGAGATGGAGCTTGATGCAGCAACGTATGAGTGACTTCAAAACGCCTGAGATTGTAGAGGTCACAGGGCTGTGAGTCTGATGGTGTGAGGGGCGCAAGAAACAGGTGGTTACCAGAGGGGCTCAAGAAACAGGTGGTTACCAGAGGGGCTCAAGAAACAGGTGGTTACCAGAGGGGCTCAAGAAACAGGTGGTTACCAGAGGGGCTCAAGAAACAGGTGGTTACCAGAGGGGCGCAAGAAACAGGTGGTTACCAGAGGGGCTCAAGAAACAGGTGGTTACCAGAGGGGCTCAAGAAACAGGTGGTTACCAGAGGGGCTCAAGAAACAGGTGGTTACCAGAGGGGCTGAGGGAGAAGCAGAGGCCGGCAGTGGAGTCGTGTGGGGGCGAGGGCGAGCAGGTGCGGTGCATGTGGACAGAGTGGTTGTGGGCGAGCAGCGATGACCTGTGGGGGAAGAGGTAGAACGGACGGACGGTGGTGGCAAAGACATGCGAGTCATTCCATGGGGCATGCTATGTGGCACGTGATGTGGCAGAAAATGTTGCATGCAACATGGCATGCAATGCGGCATGGCGAGGGGAGGCACCACATGGCGGGGTGAGAGGGATGGGACCAGGAGGAATGGGGCGAGGAGAGGGGGTTAGGTGGAGTTAGGTGGGGTTACCTGGAGGAGTGGGGGAAGATGATGTGCAGGCGGGCCAGGAGCCTGGGCAGTGAGGGGCCTGCAGGGAGGGGCCGCAGCAATGGGGGAGGGACAGGTGCGGGGAGAGGGCGAGAGGGAGGTTGAGGGGCAAGAAAGTGCAGCGAAGGGAGGAGAGGGGTTGAGGTGAATGGGTAGTCATGTGGCTGCAGGCTTGTGAGAGCGCACTGATAACAGCACATCACCCCCTTACCTCCCGTCCCTGCAAGCACAAAATGGGCGGCGTTGCTTGTCACCATGTGCGCCATATTGCCGCCCAGATCCGGAAACGAGTCTTCCTCAGCCTCAAAGGCCTGCACGTCCACACCAGGCATGGCAGCAGCACACACCACCACCACCACCTCCCGCTCTTCCTCTCCCCTCCCCTCCAGCCTCTCTGTCACACCATCCCCTCTCGAGAAAACAGATGCTTTTGCCCTCAGCAACTCGTTTCCTTGCACAGTTCCATTACTTGGCCACATACGCTCCTGAATGGAGTCCGCAAGGCCCTCCAGCTTGTACTGAGGCGCCTCTAAACGCGTCTGGAGGCCCTCTGCAAGCCCCAGAAACCTTCTGGAAGCTGCCTCCAGGCGCTGGGTAACCGCGCCCTCTGCCTGTGCCACATGCCCCTCTGTGATTGCCCGGATAGACTCAGCAAACGAGTTAGAGGGTTCTGTGAAAGGAGGAGCGGAGAGAAGAGAGGAGGCGGTCGCAGGGGAGGCCGTGGAATTGAACTGGCCACAGTTCAGCTCCCCTGTCACCTCCCCCGCCTCGTGCTTCTCCTGCGTGTCCTCCTCGCCCTGCTGCCTCCTCTCCTCGTGCGGGGCGAAAGCAGCCATCTCGCGGATGATGTGGTCAGCGTCTTCAATCAGTTCCAGCAGCACCACGCCTTCTATCACCTCGTCCGCTGCCGCCGCCATCACCACCTCCTCCCACTCCAATGCCTCTCCCTCACTCTCACCGTCACAGTCACCATCAGCAACATCCCTGCCGTGGTTCCCAAGGCCATGCGAATGGCTACGATCTCCCCCTGTGTGCGTCTCCCCCATTATCTCCCCTTCGCCGCCCCATGGCCCACACTCCATGCCGCCACCAACCGCACACCCGAAGAAGGGAATATCCTCCCTTCCCGCACTCCCCTCTCCTCCGCCCCTTCCCCAAGCTCTCTCCACCTCTCGCCCCAGCGCTTCCAGCACAATGCCTGTTGCGGGTGCACCTGCCTCAGATGCACCTCCCCCAGAAACAAACGCCACCACCACAGATGGCGAGCCGCCCAGCCTTGCAGCAACCTCTCTCACTGCCGCCGCCGCCGCCGCCGCCGCCGCTGCTTCTGCTTCTGCTTCTTTTGATGCTGTTTCTCTTGATGATGCTGATACTGCGGGTCCATCAATGGAGACACGACACGTGGCAGTCACATACGAGGCTGTGCCAAGAGCAGTCGAGACGCTGCTCTCTTCCACTGCTACAACCGGCATGGCATCTGTAGCGGTTCCATGGGGCGTGGTGGTGTCTGCAGCAGCACCACATGCCGCACTGTCACCCACTCTTTCACGTCCATATGGCGTGTCACTTGCTGATTGGCTCGTATCGCTTGAAGCATCACCATCTCGGCAATCTCTAGGATCCTTCCGACGCGATCCAAACGCAAGGCCGCTCAAATAACCGCTACTACAATCCATGTCACCATGGCGCATTCCCGCGCCGCCATCATTATCATGGTAGCGATCAGCGCTGCTGATGGCATCAGATCTGCCTGTATTCCCTCTCGAGTTCCCATGGACATCAGCGTGCCCCGTGGCCGTCGTGACATCCTCTCCCGCTCTGTCTCCGGCACCTGTGACGGTCAGCCGTCTGTCCAGCCGGTCAAGGTGCTCAGAGCCGGCAAAAGTAGGAGTGGAAGGTGATTCTGCCGGCGCGTGCGGGGAGCCGTCGGATTGAGTTCGCGTCGAGGGCGCAATTCCAGAGTCTGCCTCTGAGGAGGCGAAGGAGGATAGGAAGCGCGCGCTATTGCGCGGATAGCCCCGCGGATAGCCGCGCGGATCTCTCCCCAAGAACAAGCGGTCGACTTCCGCGCGCTCAGCGGGTGCGGAGTGACTGAGACCGCATTCTGGCCGTCCGATCTGACGGCCACCCGCGAGCAACCGCGACGGCAGGAAAGCATTGCCGGACTCGCCGAGCCTAGCTCCGGACCTAACCGCGCGGATGAGCGTGACGTGCCTCGCCATGGATGCAGATTCGATTAGTGATTGCCCCACGGCAAACACAGAGAGAGACCATGAACGGAAGGAAACGTATATCTGGTACTAACAGCCCGGGCTTCCACTTTGCTTTCGATAAACAATCAAATTAGTGACATTAAGGTGTGAATCAGAAACATTAGAGCCACATCAGCACTAGATTTACTAATTAGTCAGACTTCCACCCTATCACGTCCACAAGCATACCTAGCATTAGATATACTGTTCTACAACACAACACTCAACAGAAAGAAAGAAAGCAATGCAGGCAACTCATGCGCTTCAACCGAGTCGAGTCGACATGGGAACGAGGCAACAAGAGTTGCCGCATGACAATGATGTTAACAGTGAAAGTGAGTGAGGCCCAGCCAATCACCCAGTGAGGCGCACGGCAATGAGGTCGTAGCGAGGCGAGAGAGACCAGCCACCCACCAGGGCAGCCCCTCTCACTCACCTTTTTTCTAAATAGCGTGTCTTGGTGCCCATCCTACACCCCTGCCCTTCCTGCTCCTGCTACTGCCCCTCTGCTGATCCCCCACCAGCTGTGCCAGCACCTGAGGCAGCAGCAGCACTGGCAGCAGCAACAGCAGCAGCAGGGGCAGCAGCAGCATTGGTGCCGTTAGCAGCAGACTGAGGAGCAGTAAGCGCAGCCCCCCCAGACGATACTGCCTCTGGCGCTGCTGCTGCTGCTGCTGGCGCTGTGGCCGCTCCTGCAGCTGCCTTCGGTACCCCGCCTGCTGCCTTCTGTACCCCGCCTGCTGCCTTCTGTACCCCGCCTGCTTCAGCCTTGAGAGGCGAAACGCCTGCTGCAGCCTTGAGAGGCGAAACACCTGCTGCCTTCGCACCAGCCGCAGCAGGGGAAGCCGGGGCAGCAGCCGCAGCAGTGGCAGCAGCGGGAGTATGGGGAGTGGTGGCGGGAGGCCCCCAGGCAAGGGTGAGTGCATCACCTGATGCCAGCACACGCCCGTTCATATACGCATACTCCGCTACGGGACGAGATGCAAAGCGCACACGGACGGCGCTGGTCGGCGTGACAGCTGTGCCGCCGCCCTCCACCTCCACGCTCACCACCTCCCCACACGCACTGAAGTGCTCCCACAGCATGCTGGCCTGCAAGATTGGATGAAAAGTGATGGGGACCGATGAAGGAAGGAAGTAAGAGACCAAGAGATCCATGCTCCCCACCTGCCTACACACACTCAAGTGCTCCCCATGGCATGCTCGCCTGTGCTGGTGGCGATGAGTTTTAGAAAGGGGGGTTTGCTGTAAACAGGGAGAAGTGAGATCCAAAGGAAAGGAAAGAGACGGGAGGACACAAAAGCAGGAGGTGAAAGTTCTTTTACTTCAGAGACTTCAACCAGGGCGCCCCAGGCTCACTCACCTCAGTGATGGCATCAGGAATGGGCGGTGTGACGCGCACCATGGTGGTGCGATTGTCCAGCTTGAACTTATTCCCCCACGCGCCCCCTGCTCCCGCTTCCGGCCCCCCTTTCCAGAAGCAAAGCTCACACTTGCGCTCAGGCTGGCTCGCTCACCTCAGTGATGGCCTCGGGGATGGGCGGTGTGACGCACACCACAGTGGTGCGATTGTCCAGCTTGAACTTACTCCCCCACGCGCCCCCTGCACCCGTTCCCGCCCCCCCTCCCCCTCCGCTCCACCCGTAGTGGTACCCCCCTCCATATCCACCGTACCCGCCCCGCCCTCTCCCTCTGCCGCCCATGTAAGGTGCTGGGCCGGCAGGAGAGTGAGGGGAAAAGGGGGCACTGGGAGGCGTGCCCACTGCTTTGCCCCCTGCGGCCGCCGCTGCCGCTGCTGCTCCTGCTCCTGCTGCTCCCTCCGCCCCTGCTGCTCCTGCCCCCACACGTGCTGCCCCTGCGTCACCTGAAGTGGCACCTGCAGCAGGGGTGGCAGTGCTGCCTGCAGCTGCCTGTGCTGCACTTGCTCCTGCTGCTGGGGAAACACCTGAAGCAGCACCTGGTGATGCACCTGCTGCTGCAGCAGCAGCGGGCTGTTTCTGTTGGCTGGCCTCTTTGAGTCGCTCCAGGTACAGCCGGCGCTTCTCAATCTGCTCCCTCAGCAGCGCCTCCTTCTTCTTCTGAATCGCTCTCAACTCCTCCAACTTCGCCTTCGCCTTTGCTGCTGCCTCTGCAGGGTCAACTGCTGCTGCTGCTGCCGCTGCCCCCCCTGCACTCGCCCCACCCTTGCCAGCACTAGCATCACCCTTGCCACTCCCTTTCCCACCCTCCACCGAACCTGCTCCCGGGCCTCCTTCACCTGCCGAACCAGCTGCGGCAGCCGCTGCAGCCGCAGTCGCCGCAGCTGCGGCAGCAGCAGAGGCAGGATCAGGCTGCAGGTCAAAGTTAGCCCAGAACACCTTAATAAACCTGTTCCCCAGCACTGCATCTGGTGCTGCAATCGCTGCTGCTGCATGCTCCCTCGCACCCAGCTGCACAAACGCACGGCCCTTGTCCCCATGCACCTTGATATCCACCACGGGACCAAACTTAGAAAAGTGCTTGATCAGTGATGCTTGCACGCCCTTGCCTGCTGTCAGCTCTGACGGAATGCCGTTCACAAAGACCGTCATGTGGGCTTTCTGGTCGGGGTTCCGCTCGCTGCCTCCCCCACGGCCTCTCCCGCCGCCCATGCCGCCTTCTCCCCGTCCTCTTCCCCCCCAGTCCCCTCTGCCCCCCCGCCCGGGCTGCCCCTGCTGCGGCCCCTGCCAGCCCCCCTCCCCTGGAGGCCCTCTCCTCTCATACCCTCCTTGCCCCATGCCCAGTCCCATGCCCGGTCCCATGCCCTGCCCTTCCTCCCCCACGCCATTCCCTCCAAAATCCGGCCTCATTCCGCCCCCGAAATTCCCTGGGAACTGCGGATTGTACCCCATGTTAAATCCCCCGTCAGGAGTGTATTCCATCCCCACATCCCCACCGACTGGCCCCATGGCCCCATCACCACCGCCCACCCCTCCCCCGCCCCTCCCACCAGCACCAGCAGGCCCGATCCGGTCCCACACGCTCACCTCCCCAGGTGCACCCCGCCGTCCGCCCGGCATGCGCCCGTTCCCGTCCGCCCCATCGCCCCCGTACGCCCGCACTTCCCTCATGCCCTTGGCCCTCTTGGAATCATGCACCCACAGAGCCTCGTCTGGATCGTAATGCTCCCCTTCATCTGCCATCACCCCTCCCCCGCCGTCCACTGCTGCCGATACCCCCACCCCCTCCTGCTCCTCACCCCCGTCCCCTGCCCCGCTCTCCCCTCCTCCTCGTCCCCCTCCTTCCCCTCCTCTTCCTCTGCCGCCACTGCCGCCTTCTGCTCTCGGTCGGCGAGTGCCGGCCAGCTGGCCGGGCGGCGGCTGGGCGGCCGAGTTTGGTGGCATTCCAAGAGATTGTGGCGGCAGTGGAAGGTTGAGCTGCTGCAGGGACTGGGGTGGGGGGGGGGGGGGGGGGGGAGAGGGGGAGACGGGGAAGGGGGTGCGTGGTTGAAGAGGGAAACGAACGCAAGGAGATATAGGAGGGAACTGGAAATGCGTGCGTCCAAGTAAGGTCTGCATGCTCCCTCATCTCACCCGTACGCCTCCCTGTGCCTTGTGCTGACCTGCACGCCTCTCTGCGCACCTGCACGCCCCTCTGCGCACCTGCACGCCCCTCTGCGCACCTGCACGCCCCTTTGCACACCTGCACGCCTCCTTGCTCTCCTGCACGCCCCTCTGGCCACCTGCACGCCCCTCTGCGCACCTGCACGCCCCTCTGCACACCTGCACGCCCCTCTGCGCACCTGCACGCCCCTCTGCGCACCTGCACGCCCCTCGCCTCACCTGCACGCCCCTCTGCACACCTGCACGCCCCTCCGTCTCACCTACACACCCCTCCGTCTCACCTGCATGTCCTCCACAACGATGCGGTAGTTGCCGTGGTCCAGCGGGCACAGGTCGCCCTTCAGGCAGAACCCCTTCTCCTCAAAGTCAGGGCACCGCGCGCGCTTCCCCGTGGGCCCCCCCGAACCTGCTCCCCCTCCGCCCGCCATTCCCGCACCCCCTTCCTCGCCTGCTCCCCTCCCGCCCCTTCCCCCTCCGCCTGCGCCCATCCTTCCCCCGCCCATTCCCGGCATCCCTCCCCCGCCCCCGCCCCCTGAAAACATTCCAAACCCCGGTCCCCCTGCGCCAAACCCTGGTCTGATAAGCCCCGGACCCCCTCCCCCTCCCCTCCCGGGGAAAAACCCCCTCCCCATGCCCCCCCCCATGCCGTTCCCCATGCCCGGGCCTGCCCCTGCATTCCCCGCGCCAGGCATTGGCCCACCAGGGAGGCCGGGGGGAGGGATCCCAGGCCCGACCCGGCCGGGTAACATACCAGGCATTGCGCCCGCTGCTCCCCCCATGCCCCACTGCTCCCCCCCCATACCCCTCCCCGGGCCCCCATCAAAGCGCCCAGGCATGCCCCTGAGGAGGCCCGCGCGCCCCCCCATTCCCCCTGGCATTCCCCCCATGGGGAACCGCGACATGCCCATCTGCGGGCCTAAAATCGGCTGCCCCGGACCAGGTCCCCCCACGCGGGGAAAATCCCGCCCCATGGGCCCTCCCCTTCCGCCCATGCCGCCCCCATCCCCCGGCCTGAAGGAACGAGGACCGTCACGGCTGCGAAAAGACCTGCCTGCGCCACCCCCGCTGAAGTCACCTCCTCTTCTATCCCGCGCGCCTTCTAGGCGCGAGTGCACGCTGCCGCGCCCTTCCGCGGGATCTCTGCTGCGCGATCCTTCTCCCGCCGCGCCCTCGTCGCGGAACGTGCGCTCGCCGCCTCTGCGCCTGTGCTTGTGGTTCCTATCGTCGTCATCGTCGCTTGATTCGTCCTCCTCGTGCCGCTTCCGCCGCCCTTCCTCCTCCTCCTCCCGCTCCTCCCCGCCTGCTTCCGCCCTCTCTTCCGCCTCCGCTTCAGCCGCGGGATAAGGTTCCTTCTCGCCCCTCTCCCCGCCTTTACCCTTATCTTCGTCCCGCTCCTTCTCCCCATCCCCCGAAGCCCTATCTCTTACCCCCATCTCTCGCGACGTGCCACTTTTCTTTCCCCCTCTTCCCCTACCCCCCTCCTCATCCGCAACCCGTTGCCCGCCATCTCCCCGCCTGCCTCCGCTCCTCCCTCCGCCTCGTCCCCCGTCTCTCCCAAACTCATTCGCCTCCGCGGGTTCCGCGTCATCGCCGCGACTGCGCTTCTTGTCCTCGTCGTCGTCTTTCCCCGCGTTCTCCTCCTCCGCGTCTTCTAGCGAGATCTCCCCCCGCTCGAGGGCGTCGAACAGCTTCGCTACAAAACCCTCCGTTTCTGAAACCCGGCAATGAGGAAACCACGATAATTATTTTTTTTGGCGGGTTAAATATCGACAGAAATAAGAATTTCTGTATCTTACAGACAACAACAGCATGATCCTTCGGTCCGAAAGAATCATTGCCAAAGTCAGGCACACAAGTCCCCCTCTTTCTTCCTGAACCAGGTTAGGGCACCAAAGAAGCAATCGCAAGAATTGCTGCAATGAGGCAAGCGACGCGAGAACGACCAACGGGATTTGAGACGGGGCAAGGAGGTAGGGCGTGACGACAAATGAGAAGAACCGCGCCCCGGTGTGGTTGTCTAAAAGACACCTTCCGTAAGAAAGTCACGCATAGGAAAAGCGTGCGGTTCATCCACGCAATCCCATCTTACTCATCGGGAAGGCGTGCGATTCATCATGCGTTGCGTACAACTCAACTTCCATGAGGGCCCAGTGCAATTGCTCATCCGGTGCGTGCGACGTACCGTCGGTGAGGAAGTCCTGGAGCTGGTCGAGGCAGAGGCGGCGCAGCTCGTCGTGCGGCTTGCTGTTCTTCAGCAGCGCCACCACGTAGTTCGCCAGCAGCGCCGGATCCGCCTCCGATCTGCGCGGGTTCACAATGCCAGTACACAGCCACGAGCCACGGCAGAAAAGAAGACAATTAGGGTTTCGATGCTGCGAAGGACGTGAACAATGAGATCTGAATGCGGCGTCTTCGAGGCAGAAAAGAATTGGAAGTAAGAATTTAGGAGACGGTAGAATCAAGGTTTAGTGTTGAGCTTACATGGGCTTGAGAAGGTCGATCAGAAAGCGTAGGAGCGGAGAGTCCGCTTCCTCCTCCATCGTTAATTATTGATCCGTCGGCCGCTGATCACTAGCGACTGGAAGCGGCCTAGTGTCGCTACTCAAGCGAGTCCGGAAGCTAGGACTTGCCACTGTCCTATACGGAAACTATATCTTGGGAATGTCGAGTTCAGCTGAATTAGTTGGAAAGGGAGTGGCTCATCCAAAACCGGTGGAAGAAGTTGAAGTTGGTCTAGGAATAGCAGGAGGAACCTAGTGTGTGTTTATATCAGAGATACTCGTTAACGAAGCAATCTGTCAACAGATGCACACTAGGAATATGGGGCCTACTTCTGTAACAAACAGCTCAAAACAAATTTGAATCATGTATCACCAACGCTTCATTCTCTACATCGCTTACAAGTGATTGTTGCACTTTTAGCTCGCCACTTCCTCATTTGCCTCAAAACACGACCTAGAATGCTTCAGCGGCTATTCCAAGGTTTTGCCGACCAATTCGCACAGGATGCCTATTGCCCTCAACTCAAGCAGACAGCAACCACATTTCTTCCAACCATCTGCCACAAGCAAGTTCACACGCTCATTCCGCAACAGTCCCGTGTCGCTGTTCGTCGCGGTGAAGCTGCGGGAGTGGCATTAGCTTGAGCGTAGTCCGGCTGCTGTAGCTCGTCGGCTTCGCTTGTCTAGGTGGCAATGGCGTTCCTAATGACGAGCGTTCAAGCCGCGCCGTCGCTTCTCTTGACGCAGACCACCAGAGAGGTGACGTCCTCGTTATTGCAACTCCAGTTCCCACCTCGTCCGTCACAGATTTGAAATTTGTTACAAATCTTGAAAAAATCGTGTACCCCTTGTGGTGGTTCTCTTTCTTTCGCCAATCCCGTGGCAGCTCGACGTGTCGTCCAGAAATGTCCCTGGCGACTCGCACGAAGCGGCGCCACGTGGCCGCATCCGCTTCTTTCCGCTCGTCAAATTCCCCGCAGCCGTCGCGAAATTCGCAGGACGACCAGCAGCAGCAGCAGCAGCAGCAGCAAGCGGGCGAGGAGGCATCACCGCGCGTGGGGCGCAGAGGCGTGGCTCTCGGCGGGGCTGCCGCCGCTGCCTCCGCGCTCGTCTCGTCCGTCGCCGTCACCCTGCTCCCTGTTGACGTGGCCGAGGCTACGGAGTCGAATTTCGCAGACAGTACGTGCAGCAGCCGTGTGTGTGCCGCACAGCCACTCACACACTTGCATGCAAACGGCGTGCATTGTGCCCCTCCCTCCCCCTTCCCCTTTCCCCAAAGACCCCCATTCCCCCACCGCCCTCCACTGTGTGTGTGCGTGGGGGCGCGTGCAGTGCCGGCACTGAGGGGCAAGGACTACGGCAAGAGCCGCATGAAGTATGCTGACTACACTGAGACCGACTCCGGCCTGCAGTTCAAGGTGGGGTGCGGTACTGCAAGATGGGGCGCGGTGGGCAATGCAAGGTGGGGTGGGGGGGAAAGCGCAAGGTGGGGCGTGTTATGGAGCATGTGGGCTCAATACTACGTGAAATGAGCATGGCTGTTGCTGCATAAATGGCTCCTTCGGTGTAGCAAGTCCAATGGTCGACCCATGAGAATAGGATGTTGTAGCACTGCAAGTCATGGTGGCACTGTAGGTGACGCTGTTGTCGCATCACGATCACAATCATTCCATCGAAGCGTGTTGAGATGCGTGTTGAGAAGCGTGTTGAGAAGCGTGTTGAGAAGCGTGTTGAGAAGCGTGTTGAGAAGCGTGTTGAGAAGCGTGTTGAGAAGCGTGTTGAGAAGCGTGTTGAGATGCGTGTTGAGATGCGTGTTGAGAAGCGTGTTGAGATGCGTGTTGAGATGCGTGTTGAGAAGCGTGTTGAGAAGCGTGTTGAGAAGCGTGTTGAGAAGCGTGTTGAGAAGCGTGTTGAGAAGCGTGTTGAGAAGCGTGTTGAGAAGCGTGTTGAGAAGCGTGTTGAGAAGCGTGTTGAGATGCGTGTTGAGATGCGTGTTGAGATGCGTGTTGAGAAGCGTGTTGAGATGCGTGTTGAGATGCGTGTTGAGAAGCGTGTTGAGAAGCGTGTTGAGAAGCGTGTTGAGAAGCGTGTTGAGATGCGTGTTGAGATGCGTGTTGAGATGCGTGTTGAGAAGCGTGTTGAGATGCGTGTTGAGATGCGTGTTGAGATGCGTGTTGAGAAGCGTGTTGAGATGCGTGTTGAGATGCGTGTTGAGAAGCGTGTTGAGAAGCGTGTTGAGAAGCGTGTTGAGAAGCGTGTTGAGATGCGTGTTGAGATGCGTGTTGAGATGCGTGTTGAGATGCGTGTGGAGATGCGTGTTGAGAAGCGTGTTGAGATGCGTGTTGAGATGCGTGTTGAGAAGCATGTTGAGAAGCGTGTTGAGAAGCGTGTTGAGAAGTGTGTTGAGATGCGTGTTGAGATGCGTGTTGAGATGCGTGTTGAGATGCGTGTTGAGATGCGTGTTGAGAAGCGTGTTGAGAAGCGTGTTGAGATGCGTGTTGAGATGCGTGTTGAGATGCGTGTTGAGATGCGTGTTGAGATGCGTGTTGAGCTGTGCGTTGAGACGTGCTAGTCAGCGGTCAATGGTTAATGTCGCATGATGATGCTTCCGTGCCCGCCACCCACCAGGACTTGAGGGAGGGCACGGGACCAACTCCTCAACCAGGCGACCTCGTTGTCGTGAGTACGCCTCTCATTTCCTCTGCTTGTGTTGTCTTGTGTGCTTTCCTTTCCACGCCACGTTTCCTGCCAGCCATACTTGCTGTGCCATATGCCCTGCCAGACCTTGCCAAGCCATTGCCCCTCCCCACCCTGTGCCCCGCACCCCACTTTGCGCTCTCCCCCTCTCTCTGCAGGTGGACTGGGCGGGGTTCACCATAGGGTACTATGGGCGCATCTTTGAGGCGCGCAACAAGGCCAAGGGCGGCTCCTTCGAGGTGCGTAAGACAAGGCTCACCCAACGGACAGGAGGGGGGTAGCTGGGGGGAGGGATCGGAACTTGCGAGGTTGGTTGGAGTATGGGTGGGGGCGAGGGGCTGCCACGGCTTGTCACAGGCGCGCTTCTCAGTGACAGAGCCACACTCGCCTCCGGCTGATCCTTTCTCTCCTCCCTGCTGCTGCGCCTGCCCCGTGTGTGTGTGGTGTGTGCAGGGCAACGAGAAGGACTTCTTCCGCTACCACGTTGCCCAAGGGGAGGTGCGTCCATTCCATGCCTCTGCTACTCCATCGCCCCCTTGCTGCCACCCCCTCACCCCGCGTGTTGCTGGCACTGTGTCTGCTGTGCTCGCAATTGCCTCTTTCCGTGTCTCCGCCTCGCTGCCATGATTTGCAATCAATCACAAGCCCATGCATGCTTCTCATGGCATGCTCCAACCCACTCGCATGAGCCAACCCGTGTGCCTCTTGGGTGGCGTGCATGTGGGGCATCCCGGCACACATGGCGTGCATGTGGGGCATCCCGGCACACATGGCGTGCATGTGTGCATGGGGTGGTGGCAGGTCATCCCGGCGTTTGAGGAGGCCGTGGCATCCATGAAGCTGGGGGGAGTGAGGAGGTGAGAATGGGGAAGAGGGGGGTTGAACGGAAGAGCTCGGTTCAGTGCATGCAACAATACTGCATTGATTCAGTGCCATCCACGCGGCATGGAACGCATGCAGCATGCATGGTGCCATTGACCCGATTTAATCTCAACAGTACTGCTCTTTTCCCACATAACATGCCTGCCCTTGCCGTGCCTCATCTACGGCGCACTGTGCACCAATGATTCTGCACTCTGCATGCACCAGGATCGTTGTGCCTCCGGAGATAGGCTATCCAGACAACAACTTCAACAAGCAAGGACCCAAGCCCACCACCTTCTCCGTCAGTGCCCTCTGCCACCCACACCCTCTGCCACCCACACGCACTGCACCTTTCCTTGCAACAGTCCCCACTCTCACTCGTTCCTGCTGTTTCCATCTTGTTTTTTCCCACCTAGCTTCACTCTGCCATTGTTCTCCGGTGCATTGCTGTCTACTGCCAGGGCCAACGGGCGTTGGACTTTGTGCTCAAGAACCAGGGGCTCATCGACAAGACGCTTCTCTTTGACATTGAGCTGCTCAAGATCGTTCCCAGCTAGCACCTCCCCTGGGTAGACTCGTTCTGTCACCTCCCCATCTAGCACCCCCCTCCCCCAGTTACCGATGAACCATTCCAGATGAGCTCATTTCTCTACGTTTCTGCCATCCATCCAGGCCTGAGCACGTTATGGCCCAAATGGTCGTTGTATGGAGTCATGTATTTGCAGCTTCACCCAGCCTTTGTCACCGTTGCTGGTTGGATGAGATGAGGACACAGGCAAATCGAGGAACATTACCAACTCAAATATTGTTTAGTTGATTGAGGTGGGTGGGACACTTAACAGTTACAGCATGTTGCGGTGTTGGCTGGTGGGGGTGGCTCTGGAATCTTCCACTGATCCTCTGCGTGCCGTGCTGTGCTCTCCCTTGATGTTTCACATTCGTGGCTAAGGATTCTATTTGGAAGAACAATGGGGACAAGTGAAGTGAAACCATGCAAGGTGTGAGTTGAGTTGCATCATAAGATGGTCACAAGATGGGACAATCGTGCCGTGGCAAGCACAGCATCAACCACAGCAGTCCATCCCTCCCCTCTTGCATCTAAATGCACCACCCGCCACTCCCCCTCCTCTTCCTCCTCCCAATCATCCTGCTCCTCCCACTCCTCTCCATCTTCCTCCCCCAACCTGTCACCCTCCCTTCCCCCGTCCCCACCTGTCGTTTTCTCCCCAGACTCCGCCCTCCCCTCTGCTGCCCCTCCAGCTGCCCCTGCTGCTGACTGCCCCTCGTGGAGCACATCGGGTTCGTCTGTGCCGCCTGGAGGATTCAGAGCGGGCGGCAAGAGGGAGATGGAGAGGTGGAGGCGGTGGGCGGGCAGCAGAGGGAGGAGGGGCTGCGGCCACTCGATCAGACACAGCCCTGATGGGGGGGAGAGAAGGTGAAGAGGGAGAAGGGAAGGGGAGAGTTAGGGGGATGAAAGAGGAAGTAGGAAAAGGGAATGCGGCGAGGGAGGATGAGATGAGGGAAGTTGGAGTGTGTGAGGTGCTGCGAATCGAGGGGTTGAGAGAGAGGTCAAGTGGGGAGGTGGGGAGAGCACGGGGAGAGAAAGAGAGGTGGCGTGAGGCGCGCACCGGAAGGGCAGGAGGGGCGAGGAGAGCGGTGGGCGTACCAGTAGCAAGCGAGTGTGCAACGTCCAGCCGTTGGATGTCAGGCGACGCTGCTGCTGCTGCTGCGGGCGCTGCTGTGGTGGGCGTGGCAGAGCGCATGGCACCAAGGCGGTATGCATCATAGTGATGCACCGTGCTGGGGGTGGGTGAGGGGGAAGGAGGGAGTGCGCAAGGGGGAAAGGGGGAGCGGGAGGGGGTTGCGATGAGTCGTGGGAGCAGGGGTGAGGCGGGTGTGGGAGCAGGGCACTAGGAGCAGTGGAGTGGGGGAAAGGAGCTGAGAGGGAAAGGAGAATGGGGAGAGGGGGCTAAGGCAATGGGGAGCAGCATGGGGCAGACGACGAGGGCAGTGGGGTGTACAGAGCGGGCGCAGGGTAGGAGTTGAGAAGCAGGAAGGTGGGCGACGTCACGATGAGGTCAGGGTCGCCTGTCAGCGCTCGGATGAAATGCCGGCTGTGAGGGGTTGGGGGTCAGGGCGGGCGGGAGGGAGGGAGTGGGTGTTGGGAAAGAGGGGGGGCACATGGGGAAGCACCCATGCAGGACGCACGGCAGCACAGCCCGCCAGATGCAGGTGAGTGGACGAAACACAACACTCACTAATCCCACATCAGGGTTTCGCAAGGCAGGCAGGTGCGCAGGAGGAGCAGGCAGAGTTTTATTCGTGCTCTCACGTGCCCCTGCATTCGTCACACCCCATCCATCCCAATGAAACCTTCTCATTTCTCCTGCCCTTCCTGTTCCGGTTTCTCCGCCTCCCCCCTCTCTTCTTCCCCCTCCCCACCCAAGGCGCACCAGAAAGTGGTCTTCCCCGCGCCCACATCCCCCTGCAGGCACACCACGTCCCCCACCCCCACTGCCCCGCCGATCCGCTCCCCCGATCCGCGCGCCTCGCCGCTCCGCCCCCCCTCACCCTCTCCGCCGATTCTTTCCGCTAGCTCTCGCGCCAGCCAGGCCAACGCGCTCTCCGTCCTGCAAAGGACACGTGGCACTGCGTCATTGGCTAGCGGCAATAACTGCGACCCTGGAGATTGTCCGGACTCGTCGGAATTCGCGTCTATTCCCGCTGAAACTACTCGGCCGGCAGGACTACCGGGCAACCGACCGCTGCTGGCTAGTGTGAAGATTCGTTGACGGAACGCGCGAGAATTCCGGCGGGAATCGCGGCGAGAGGAGGGCGCGATTTGGAGGAGTGACGAAAGGGAGTGCGGGCGGCAGGTGTGACTGTGGGAGACGTGATCATAGGCGCGCGGTAAAAGCGCCCGGAGAAGCGCCGATGGCGGGTGGGCGCGTTGGGCGATTGAAGTCCGTAATCCAGTAGCTAGTTGCATGCTGGAGAGTGCGCGTGGGGTTGCACGTTGTTCGCTCTGCGGCTGTTGCTCCAGTACCAGAGGCGTACACACATCAACTCTTGTTTATCGTGCCGTGTCCTGTGGTTGCGAATTGCACTGCTGAATTTGCCGTACTGCACCGCATTGAACCTGTGATACTCATGCGGGTTTCCCCTCCACACCATTCACAGCACAAATTCGCCCCTCTCCATTCAACCCCCCAGATCACCCAGGCGCACTTCATTCCAACCCTACTCGCTCACAGCACCGCAGCTATGGGGGGCGGCGCGGAGGCGAGCGAGCAGGCGCGCGGGCAGCAGCGACCCACGATATCGATCGCGGTGCTGGGTTCCATCATCGACAACACGCAGTCGCTCGAACGCGCCACCGCCGTGCGCCTCCCGCCCCGCCCTTCCCCGCGCATTCCGCTCCTTCCCCCGCATGCCGTTTATCTTCCGCGCATTCCGCTCCATCCCCGCAATATTCCGCCTTCCGTGCCACTAAGATCGCGCTCCAACCGCTGCGTCGCGTTAACCCCGCAATAAACCCTCAACCCTCGTCGCCACACGCGCAAGAGAAGGCTCTTTAACACATCCTCCCAAATCTGCGGAATCGGGACGCCTTTCTAGTCGCCAAATCATCTAATCTTTTATCGTTATCGCCTCATTCCCTAAACCTCGGCGCAGGTAGCGGGGCAAATCGCGCGCGCCGCCGTCATTTTCAAGGTGCACGAGATTGTCGTGTACGACGACTGGGACGCGGAGGGCGACTCGAGCGCGCCGCGCGGGTGGCGCGGGGAGCGCTTCTCGGGGTCCGCGGGGTCGTTCCTTGCGCGCGTGCTCCAGTACCTCGACACCCCGCAGTACCTCCGCCGCGCGCTCATCCCGCTCACGCCCGACCTGCGCCTCGCGGGGCTGCTTCCGCCGCTGGACGCGCCGCACCACGCGCGCATGCACGAGTGGCCGGAGTTCCGCGAGGGCGTGGTGGTGGCGGAGGGGGAGGGGGAAGAGGCGCGCACAGTGGGTAGCTGCGCCGTGGATGTGGGGCTGCAGCAGGTGGGGGCGGGGGGAAGGGGAATTTGGGAAGTGGGGAAAGGGGAGAGGGGAGGGAAATCTGGAGAGCCGCCATTAAGAATATATGAGGGAAGAAAAATGTGTTCTCTTGAACTTATGGCCCATTGTCCTGCCCTCTCCCACCCATCCCGCTTCCCCCTTCCCCTCATTCGCACACTCCCTTTCATCCATCCATTCACGTGCATGTGTGGCAGAGGGTGCGTGTGCGAGGAAGCTTCTCGGAAGGCACGCGATTGACAGTGGCCATGGGGCCAGCAGCGGAGCGAGAGAAGGTGTTTCAACCAGGTGGGGGAGGGAAGGGGGGGTGCAGTGGAGGGGGGAAGAGGGGGAGGTGAAGGTTGGGATGTGTTGAGCAGAGCACATTAGAGAGCGGCCCCTACCCTCCATCCTTGCTCCTCTCCACTTCTCTCCGCGCCTCACTCACTCTATCCATCTATCCCCCCCCCTCCCCCTCTCGTCCACCCACCCAGGAGTGCTGCTGACGCCAGTGGCCCCGCATGTGCCGTGGGGAGAGAGGGGGCAGTACTGGGGGTACACTGTGCGCCTTGCCAGGGGCGTCTCTGGCGCCCTCTCCGCCTGCCCCTTCTCCCCCGCGCCTGCCTCCGCGGAGGGGGGAGCAGGGGGTGCGGGGGACGGGGGAAAAGGGGCGGGGGAGGGGCGCAGCTCTGATGCTGCTGTGGTGGGGGGAAGTGGGGGTGCGGGGGAGGGGGATGGGGCGGAGGGAGGGGAGGGGAGGGAGGGCGGGGGAGACGGAGGGGAGGAGGGTGAGGAGGGGCGGGGGAAGAAGAGGAGGCGGCGAGGGGGGAGGAAGAGAGGGGCGAAGCGGGGGTTGTATGGGGAGGGGGGTGGGGGTGAGGGTGGGCAGGGAGGGGGGAAGGGGGAGCGGAAAGGGGAGGAGCAGGGGGGGGAGGCGCGTACGATTTGATCGTAGGGACATCGGAGCACGGGGATGTGAAGGAGATCGGCCAGTTCAAACTGCCTCCCTTCCGGTACGGCCTCAATCTCCCTCCCCACTGCCCCTCTGGGCTCCTCCCTCCCCACACAATCGCCAACAGTCACCTCTTCATGTCCCTCCATCCCATCTCTTTCCCCTCCTCCCCATCCCACCCCTTCCACTTGCTGAGAGGGGAGGAGGGGGGCAGGCACCTGTTCATGTCTACCTACCACCTCTCTCCTTCCTTCCCTCTCTCCCCTGCTCACAGGCACTTGTTGGTGGTGGTTGGGGGCATGGCGGGGTTGGAGGAGGCGTGTGTGTGAGGGCAACGAGGGGCTGGCTGCTTTTCAGACGTCTCCAAATTCGTCTGCCTCCTTTCCACTGCACCCTTCTTCTCACCCCCCCTTGACAGGCATTTATTGGTGGTGTTTGGGGGCGTGGCGGGGTTGGAGGAGGCGTGTGAGGGCGACGAGGGGCTGGAGGCGGACAGCAGGGACCCCAGGCAGCTGTGCCAGCTGTACCTCAACACGTGCCCCTTCCAGGGCTCGCGCACCATCCGCACTGAGGTGCGCTCTTGAGAAGGGTGGGGGGGGGAGGGGCGGGTGAAGGGGGTAGGAGATGCGGGAAAGGGGACAGTTGGGGGGTGAGAGGGGCAGCTGTGCCAGCTGTATCATCCGCACTGAGGTGCGCAGTTGAGGGTGGGTGGAATGGTGCAGTGTGGGGAATGGATGGGGGAGTGGAGGAGGGTTGGGGTGTGAGGTGAGGCGGGGGCGATGTGAGGGTTGTTGGGGAAGGGGGGAGTGACGGGGTGAAGTGAGAGTGCTGGGCTTGTGTTGCATGAGTGGATGGGATGGGCAGCGTGCTGCCTGTGTTCGTTGCGGTGCAATGCGGTGCACGCTCAGACTTGTTGCTGTGCTGACGGCTCTCCCTGTCTGCATGCACGATGCCCCTTCCCTACCATGCCATGCCTCTCCCCCGTTCCCCCCCGTATGCATGCAGGAGGCGGTGCTCATCTCACTGGCATACATCTCAGCACTCGTGCCGTGACCAGCACCCTGCGAAAAAGTGCCGAGGGTGGTGGTCACAGCCCTCGGCACCTCATCACACGCCACCTCTCCTCTGCACCTCATCACCCAACTTGCACATGCGTCTCATGACTCTCTGCTCTGCCTTGAAGCCGTTTCACTCACTGGGTGCTTTATTGTGACCCTGAATGCAATTGTGTTAATATATATGGGCCTAGTAACAACCGACTGTAGCTGCAATTGAAGATTGGGCCAGATCATTGTGGCCATCTCCATCTCCACCACCCACTCTTGTACCTACCCACATGGTACCCCCAGGGGGCTCGGCTGCCGGATTCTACAGGCTTATACACGCCATCCTGCTTTACATCTCTTAGCTGCTCTAGAGCTAATCGTTAGTAGAGTTGCCGCTCTGCAGCCATTCTACTGCCGTTTCCCAATACTGCTGTGCCACGTGTGCCCGGCACATTCTAGAGCTAGTACAGTATAGACGTGGCAGCAGCAGTGCCCCATGTGTTTAATGGGAGTGTGGCCATTGCTGCTCTCCCGGTCTCCACCCCGACCTCTTTACTTGTTTTGGATGACTTGCCAGTGCAGCACCCAACTGATGTGCACCCTACAGGTGTTGGAAACAACTGATTTAGGCGCCTCTGTCGTGTCGAAACACCAAGACAGAAGCGAAGTAGCTCGTATCGAAATATCGGTGAGTCAACCCTCGGAGGTTGAATAACTGTTGGAGGTTACGCGAAAGTCAAAGGTCAGCGACCTTTGACCTGACAAATGCAGCGCGACAGCAAGGACAACCAACTGTCTCGATACTGAGCAGTTGCCCGAGTCGACACTGTATCGAACCGCAGTAAAACAGTTAACTGTATCTCTTCATATTCCTTTGTATTCTTATAAAAGCTTGTATCTCTTTTATTATCATCAACTTACTTTGCCCTCACATACTAGTGCAAGGTGGTTCACAACTCTTTAATTAACGCTTCCGCTACTACACCGACTCTACCCAGAGTTCACCCCTGCAAAGATCCTAAAGGGTTTTTCAGCCTAACATGGTATGAGAGCTATCAGGGGGAATTCAACTTCTATACCGACAACATCAACAAGCATGGCTACACAAAAGGAAAGGAGCAACTCCAACGGCTCCCAGGGCACTACTCCTACTCCACCTCCTGCCTCTGGCCTACAGACAGAGGAGGGCACAGCAACAAGACCCAGAGCAACATCTACCGAGACTCCCGCGAATCAACCTGCAGACTTCGACCAGAGCATGATGGAGAAGTTTTTCTCCTTCATGTCCTTCTACGAGCAACACCAACAATCGGCACCTGCGCAGTCACACAACAGCAACAACAACGGAGCAACACCCATGAGTCTCGACGGCTCATCATATGCACGAGGAAATCAACAACAGCAGCCTACCTTTGCTCCGTACGAGCGCGGGTCCATCAGCTTTATGCCACACCCACAGCCTTCACCTGGACAAGAAAAATCACTGGACGCATTACAAGTTCAGTCGCAGTTCGCACACGTTCTGAAGATGCAGACGTCAAGACCTTTCGATGGAAAGGACTTCTTCACCTGGTCATTCGAGTTCGAGCTGATGATGGAAGGCGCGCAGATACTCGGGTTCTTCGACGGGTCTTTGCCATACCCAACAAACGGCACACAGTACGAGAAGCAGCAGTATACCTATCAGTCAATGATGGCGTACACGATCCTACTGAGGAATATCACCCCGACTCAACAGCAGAACATAAGGTCTTACCGAGGTTACGGCAACTCCGCGGAGCTCGCGTACAACCACCTGAAGAGCCTGTATCAAGCAACAGACAGCGTAAGCCAAAGTCGGTTAATGGCGCAACTGACAACGGTTGAAATGAAACCAGGGGAGAAAGGAATGGCGTATATCAGTCGATGTCGCGAGTTGCGCGACAAGCTTCTTCGATGCGGAGGGTCGATCTCTGAAGACGCCTTCGTGACAGTCATCATCGGCGGCCTCGGTCCTCAATGGCGTGCCACAAAGGCCATTCTCCGAGCTCACGGAAGAATCTCCGAAGCAGCGCTCTGCGCCGAAATCCACGCCGAGCAGCAAGACATGGACCTGCAAGAAGAACGACACAAAAAGGAGACATCAGCACCGGAATTCGCGTTCCACACTCAGCGACGCTACAACAACAACAACAACCGGCAGCAACAACCGAAGCTAGTACCTCCGTTCTGCCACATCTGCAAAACTTCAGGACACCCGCGTACGCACTGCCCAAATCGTCAACAGTCAACAACTCCACAGCAGCAACTTCGACCTTCAAGCAGCCAAATCGCCTCAACGCAAGCAAATCCCACGACCCAGATTCAAGCCTCAACGACTTCAACGGGACAACCTGCACAAGGAGCAAGAAACATCGTCAGCTGCATGGCAAAGCTGAGTGACTCCTGCATCACCGAGTCACCACCACACTACTCACCGGAAGAACAACTCGACGAAACCACACCCCGCCGCGAGTCACTTCAGCCGAACCCGACATACGCCGCCATCGCCCAAAGCGAACCATCCGGAAAAGACACATGGTTCTTGGACAGTTGCTGCGGACAGCACATGTGCTCCTCGGGACGCTTCGTTCAACGAGAACACCAACTTCAACGCGAAGTTGTCATTACAGTCGCCAACAATCAGAACCTGCGAACACGACGACAAGGCGTAGTTCAACTTCAGTCAAGGGAAACAAACGTTATACTGCAGATGTCAAAAGTACTAATCGCAGAGGGACTCGGCTACAACTTACTGAGCGTCAGTCAGCTAATGGCGAAAGGGATTCACCTCGAAGCAGACAGCACCACCCAAGAATTCAAGCTGTATCATGGGAGAGGAGGACTTTACATCGGCAAGGCGGTCCTCAAGAACAACGTCTTCGTTCTTGATTTCGTTCCTGATCTTGGCACCGCCGACAGCGATGCCATCGTTAACTTCACCAACTGGACACACCCTCCAGACCTTGATCCAGACTTCAGTCCAGAAGGCTTCTGGTACTCACACACCATCCCTGAAGCAGAAAGAACAAGGGCGTTAGCAACAATTCAGACAACATCAACAGCAGCAGAGACAACATCGACAGCAGCAGAGACAACATCGGCAGCAGCAGAGACAACATCGGCAGCAGCAGAGACAACATCGGCAGCAGCAGAGACAACATCGGCAGCAGTAGAGACAACATCGGCAGTAGCAGAACCATTAACGGCAACAGCAGGAACGTCAACACCAATTGCTGGTCCTTCAACGACACCGCTCCTCATCGACGACACACCACCGACACCCGCGCAACAACTACACCCAGCACCACAAGAAGTTCATCGTAGCGCCAACTTCACCGCCAACTTCTACTCCAACTCCGATATGTACCGACGATCACCCGGACATCGCGCCGACGAAAGCACCTGGCACGCAAGGATGGGACACCCAAGCAACACAGTATTAAACAATACGATAAGAGCAGGAGTACTCGACAAGGACTCACTCCTACTGACCGACGGACGAGAACTTCAACGAGTACGCGGAACGTGCTTCACCTGCCCTGAAGGTGACTTACCACATCGACCGTTTGCGTCTCATCACAACCCGAGCGCACCCGCGTACGCACCACTCGAGAAGGTGTATAGCGACATCCTGTACAATCAGGAACCAGGACAAGTAATATACAACTATACAATCACCTTCATCGACGCCGCCACCCGTTACGTCTGGCACCTAAACCTCCCTAGCCGCGACATGGCATTCGCAGCCTTCGTTGCCTGGCTACCAGTAGCAGAGAGAGAATCGGGCGTGAAACTGAAAAGCTTCCAGTCAGACGGAGGAGGAGAATACACCTCTCAGCGATTCAAGCAGTACCTGGCGGAAAGGGGAATCAAGCGGCTCATCTCCCTTCCCTACGCCCATCAGCAGCAAGGTGTAGCAGAAAGAATGAACAGGACCTTGCAGAACAGCATGCGCAAACTGTTACGTGGCATGCGGCTACCCAACCACCAGTGGCCTGCGGCAATGGACCACGCCGTCATGCTGCACAACTTGCTCTCGTCATCATCGCTTCCAAACAACGCATCACCGCATCTGCTATGGACAGGAAAACAGGGCAGCACAAAAATGTTACGAATATTCGGATGCATGGTACAGTACCGACCCCCAGCAGCACGAGCGGGCCGATTTTCTCAACGAGCACAGTGGGGACTACACCTGGGAATCGAAAAGAACTACAACGCGTGGAAAATCTTCGACGTCCATTCCAAGGAAACAGTAGCAGCACGTGATGTAATTTTCTACGAACGACTCACGCTCCAGACATACCTTGCCAACCTGCAAGAAGACCAGGATCCCACAGGTGGTTTTCGCGGTGACCGAGCCTTCGCCTCAGCAACGGACGAAGCTGACTGGGACGAGCAGAATGTGGACAACGCATCAGAAGAAGCCGGACCTCTTCCGTTCTGCTCCGTGGACGTTCCCATGGACGAAGATAACCCTCGCGAAAGTGTCAACGCCGAAACCTTCTACTATTTCGCCGACAACGGTTACGTAACACCTGCGACAGTCAACACCAACGAAGCAGAACGAGTAGGACCCAACTTCATACCTGATCCAGAAGCGGGAGATGAAGCAGCTTATCCCGAGGACGCAAATCTTCCCCGCTACTCACAGAGTGGACTGCAAATTCTCGGACTCGTCACCGCAGTCCACGGCACCGCCATTCCTAAAGAGCCTGCGACGGTTCAACAGGCTCTGGGGGGGGAGCATAAGGAAAAATGGCGCGAAGCCATGGACAAGGAGCTGAAGGCACTGGAGGAACGCAACACGTGGAAAGTGGTTTCTATCGGCGTGGCACGGAACAAGACAGTGCTCACCGGGAAGTGGGTCTTCCGTGTGAAGACAAAGGCTGACGGCACCATTGACAAATTTAAGGCTCGCTGGGTTGTACGCGGCTTCGACCAAGAACACGGACGCGACTTCACCGAAACTTTCGCTCCGGTTAGCCGCCACACCTCACTACGCATTCTCCTCGCAATCCCCGCCATGAAGAAGAAGAAGCTGCGACAAATTGACGTCGCGAACGCGTTTCTCTACGCACCTGTTGATGCAGAAATTTTCGTCGAGCTACCGCACGGCTCCCACAGAGAACCCAACCAAGTCTGCCAGCTACTCAAGTCACTCTACGGCACACTCGCCTCATCCGCATCGGCTTCAAGCAACTACCGCAGGATCAAGGCATGTACCGGCTCACAAAAAACGACAACTACATCCTACTAATCGTCTACGTGGACGATCTCCTTTACACCGGCTCGAATGACGGCATCACTACCTGGTTCGAAGGGGAGCTGCAGCGAGATCTCACGCTCACAGTTTCATCTACCGTCACTCAGTACCTCGGCCTCAACATCCGGGAAGAGGAGGACGCGATCTACCTCAGCGCCGAGAAATATGCCGACACCATCGCCAAACGCTTTACGCTCACTCCGACAGCCATCTCCACGCCATACCGCTACACGGCAGGGAACGACAAAGGAAGCTCCGCTCTACTCAAGCCCGCCGGCATACGAGACTACCAGAAGAAGCTGGGATGTCTTCTCTTCGCAGCCGTCACCTGTCGCCCCGACCTCTCATACTCCGCAAGCCAGCTCGCCACCTACCTCAAGAAGCCTGAAGCAGAACATCTGACGGAGCTCGACCGCGCTCTTCACTACTTCGTCAGCACCCCAACGATCGGCCTAACTTACTACAAGAACGCAACCACACCGACTAAGTTAATCGGCTACGTCGACGCTGATCACGCTGGCGACTCCGACAATAGGCGCTCCCGCACCGGCTACATCTACCGCCTCGAACCTATCGGACCTATCTCTTGGCAGTCGAGCAAGCAGGAATTAATTGCCCTCTCGTCAGCGGAAGCAGAATATATTGCACTCTGCTCAGCCACCAAGGAAGGACTCTATCTTCGCGAGCTGCTGGAAGAAGCGAAGTTAGCCGAGTTACCCAACTTTACCCTGTTCTGCGACAACCAGTCAGCAATTCGCATCGCCAACAAGAACGGCTTCGCAAACAGGACGAAACACATCGCCCTGCGATATTTCTTCGTGAAGGATGAGATCGAGAAGGGAAGGCTCGAGCTGTCATACTGTCCCACGTCTGAGATGGCAGCTGACTACCTGACCAAGAAGCTCGGAAAGCAGAAGTTCGAATACTGCATGTTGCTGACTGGACAGAGCCACGTCAGCGACACTCCAGAAGCGAAGGGGAGTATTGGAAACAACTGATTTAGGCGCCTCTGTCGTGTCGAAACACCAAGACAGAAGCGAAGTAGCTCGTATCGAAATATCGGTGAGTCAACCCTCGGAGGTTGAATAACTGTTGGAGGTTACGCGAAAAGTCAAAGGTCAGCGACCTTTGACCTGACAAATGCAGCGCGACAGCAAGGACAACCAACTGTCTCGATACTGAGCAGTTGCCCGAGTCGACACTGTATCGAACCGCAACAGCAACAATAAAACAGTTAACTGTATCTCTTCATATTCCTTTGTATTCTTATAAAAGCTTGTATCTCTTTTATTATCATCAACTTACTTTGCCCTCACATACTAGTGCAAGGTGGTTGACAACTCTTTAATTAACGCTTCCGCTACTACACCAACTCTACCCAGAGTTCACCCCTGCAAAGATCCTAAAGGGTTTTTCAGCCTAACAACAGGCATGTCGTGTGCTCTGGCTTGAGTGTGCCAGCTCTGAAGCTATAGGTGACAGTCTACTGCTCCGATGGCCACGGCTGCTGTCAGTGCTGCACCCTTTTCAGCCCGCCTCCCGGTGGCTACCCTGTGCTGCTGGCAGGCACCTTCACGTCCCTGTGCTGTTGGCCCCTCGAGGCCCTCACCTCACACACACGGCATCATGCGTACTATGGCACGTGCCCGACTCCATTCTCTGCTGAACCTGAAACACATGCTACGCATGCAACCTGCACCCTGTATCACACCAGCCTACACTACACCTACTCAAGCCTAGCACTACACATGCAGCAGCTTTTAAGAGTAATGCACATGCCGAGTCGTAAACATGCATGTGTCCAGTCAAACAAAGTCAAGCAAGTCAACGGTCAGTCAAGGTCGATCCACAGAGCATCCAGGCACAACGAACAGAGTGCTAACACGTCACGGATGCCTGAGGGAGGATGCCGCTAGGTGCTGGAGGGTGCAGAATGGCACAAGTGAAAAACAAGGTTGACACGCAAGTGGAAGGGCCCATGGGCAGCTCTGCCAGCAGACGGGCCTGCGAGCCCTTGCGGCCTGCAGCTGCCGCAGCATCCCAGTACCACACACATACAGCATCGCTGCCTCTCTCCCCTCCATCACGTCCTTGTGAGTCGACTCACAGTTCGCCCCCCCCCCCCCACGCCTCAATAGCGCACTCCGCATCCCAGCATTTCTGCACCACACGCCACCCGCGTGAGCCGCTACGATGCTCCGCCAATGTGGGGGGCATGTGCACGCGCTGCAATGCCACGGTGCACAGGGACCTGCCTGCCGCTATGATGCTCCGCTCCGCCACCGGTGCATAGGGACATGTCGGGAGCACAGATGGCATGCCTTCACACTCCCACACACCACCACGCAGCTGCCTCTCGTGCCTCACCACCACTGCCACCACCCCTCCTCCACCCCCCCCTCTCCCCTGGCTGTCCCTTACCCCCCTCTCACCCATCCTGGCACATCCACGACTCCTGCACTTGGCATGCCCCCAGCCCCCCCCACCACCGCCCCACCCCACCCTTGCCCTCACCCTCATGCCCACCGCCTCTTGCGTGCCGGCCGCTCCGTCTTGCCTTCCCCTCCTCCCGCCCCTTCCCCCTCCGCCCTGCCACCTGCACCACCACTTGCCATGCTGCCCGCCTCTCCCCCCATCCCCACTCCCCCCCCTCCTTCGCCTGGTCCCTCCCTGTCACCGCGCCTGTCCCCGCCGTCATCTGACTTGCGCTTCCTCCCCCCTGCACCACTCGCCCCGCCATATGCGCCACCACCACCCTCCTCCCCCCCACTCGCCCTGCGACCATCCCCTCCCCCGCCCCCTGCCCCCACGTGCACCACCAGGTGGCCCTGACTCTCCCGCCACGCCCCCCCTCCCCGCCTGTCCTCCGCCCCGTCCCCCCCTCGCCCCCCCACCTGCACCACCAGATGCCCGTCAGTGCGCTGCACCGCACTGCGCCGCACACCACCACCACCAACACCTGAAGCAGCAGCAGTGTCAGCAGCAGCAGGGGAGGGCGAGTGAGGGGCACCACCGGCCCGCCTGCCATCCTCTGCAGCACCCATGCCCCGGTGTGCGTGCCGCTCGCCCCTCTCCCCTTCTCCTGCCTCCCCTCCGCGCCTCCTCTCCCCTCCCACCTCGGCCAATCCGTCAGACCCGCCAACCCCACCCCTCTCCTTGCCTCGTTCCTTCCCCCTTTCCTTCTCATCCCTCCCCCACCCACGCTCGCGCCCCCTCTCCTCCCGTTCGTCCCCCTCCCAGTCCCGTGCGTCCTTCTCCCTGCCGCGCCCACCACGCCCCTTCTCCTTCTCCTCGCGCAGCTTCGCCCGCAGGTCAACCACCGGTGCCTCCTTGCCTGCACCCTCACTCCCCATACCCTCTCGACCCATGCACTCACCACCTCTCCAACCCTCCCTCTCGCCTCGCCTCCCCTCCTTGTCTCCCTTCATCCCCGCCCTCTCCTCCCCCCTGCCTGCCACCTCCCTATCCCGCTCCTCACCCACACTTGCTCCCCTCTCCCTTCCCCTCTCCCGTTCCCTCTCCTTCTCTCCTCGCTCTTTCTCCCCGCCTTTCTCTCTACCCCTCTGCTTGTGCCTATCCCTGCCTCTCCCCTCCTCACTCACCCTCTCTATTCCTCCCTCTCTCTCTTCCCTCTCGCGGCCCCCCCTCTCCCCCTTATCCCCTCTTCCACCCCTCTCACCCTTCTCGCCCTTCTCATCCTTCTCCCTCCTTTCGCCCCTCTCCCTCCTCTCACCCCTCTCCTCCTTCACACCTCTCCTCGCACTCCTCTCTGACTCCGGACCCACACTCCCTCCACGCTCCTCCTTCAATCCCCTCTCCTTCTCTCTCTCATCCTTCCACTTCTCCTTCACCCTCTCACCCCTCTCACTCCTTTCACTCCTCTCACCTCTCTCCTCCCGCTCCTCTCTCCACGCCCCCCTCCTCTCCCCTCCGTCTCTGTCCCTCTCCTCCCTCTCTCCCACCCCTAACCCAACCTCCCTTGCCCCCTCCTGCCTTCGGCCCAGCACCTCCCCTCCCCTCCTACCGAAACCCCCACCGTCCACTCCCATCCTGCCAAGTGGCGCATCCACAGGCACTCGCCCATAGCCCATAGGGGGGCCATGCCCATACTCCTCCCTCCCAACCCCACTGCCTGCCATCATCCTCCCGCCCTTCACCATGCCAACTCCCCCACTCCCACCTGGACCCATGCCCACCCCCATACCTGGCCCCATACCCATGCCCATACCCATACCCATGCCCATATCCCTCGGTCCCATGCGCCCCCCCATCCACCTGCCTCGCCCATGCCGCCCATGCCTGCCCCCATACGCATGTCCAGCTGCATGTGCATGCATGTGCCCAGGCCCCATAGGCCCCCCTCCCCGGCCCCTGCCCCGCCCTCCGCCGTACCTCCCGCCTTCATGGAACCTTCCTTCATGCTGCTGATGCGAAGCGTGGGGGGGAGAGCGTCTGCCTGCGCCACTGGCAGCAGCGGCATCAGAACCTTGAGCACCCTCATCACCCCTCTCTCGCGTCCATTTACCCCTCTGCCTCTCCCTGCCCTCCCTGCCCCCCTCATCCCCCTCATCCCCCTCATCCCCCTCATCCTCCTGCTCCTCGTCTTCCTCCTCATACACGTCACCATAGTCCTCCCCTTCAAACGCCAGCTCATCATCATACTCTTCCTCCTCCTCCCCGCCTCCTGCCTCCTCCCTTCCCCTCTCTCCATCTTTTTGCTTCTCTCGCTCGTCTCCTCCACCATTCTCTCTGCCTCCTGTCCCTCCCTCCCCGTCCTCCCCTCCACCGTCGCCCTCCTCAACACCTTTCTCTCTCTCCCTTCTCTCCCCGCCCCCACCACCTCGATCCCTCTCCCTCGCTCCTCCTTCTCCCTGCTGATCCCCATGCTTCCTCCTCTCCTTCTCTCCCCCCTCCTCTGCTCCAGCTGGCACTGCCACGTCATCATCGTCAATGTCAACAGTCTGACGTCAGGGAGAAGGGAGGGAGGAGGGCGGAGATAGGGGGGAGAGGAAGGGCGAAGGGGAGAGAGGGGGGGGTGGGGAGGTGAGGGTGTGGGGAAAGGCAATGAGAAGGAGAGTGGGTCAGGTTTGATGGGGCAATGCAGCAACGAGGCGAAAGGGCGAAGGGGTGAAGGGGCGAAGGAGTGAAGGGGCAAAGGGGCAAAGGGGCAAAGGGGCAAAGGGGCAAAGGGGCAAAGGGGCAAAGGGGCAAAGGGGCAAAGGGGCAAAGGGGCAAAGGGGCAAAGGGGCAAAGGGGCAAAGGGGCAAAGGGGCAAAGGGGCAAAGGGGCAAAGGGGCAAAGGGGCAAAGGGGCAAAGGGGCAAAGGGGCAAAGGGGCAAAGGGGCAAAGGGGCAAAGGGGCAAAGGGGCAAAGGGGCAAAGGGGCAAAGGGGCAAAGGGGCAAAGGGGCAAAGGGGCAAAGGGGCAAAGGGGCAAAGGGGCAAAGGGGCAAAGGGGCAAAGGGGCAAAGGGGCAAAGGGGCAAAGGGGCAAAGGGGCAAAGGGGCAAAGGGGCAAAGAAGGGGCAAAGGGGCAAAGGGGCAAAGGGGCAAAGGGGCAAAGGGGCAAAGGGGTGACGACATGACAGCATGGTGAGGTGACAAGGCGACGGAGTGATGGGGGGTGCGCGGAGGCACGGACTTACTGGGGTGGGAGGGCGCTCAATGGCTGTGTTGCCACGGACTTACTGGGGTGGGAGGGCGCTCAATGGCTGTGTTGCCACGGACTTACTGGGGTGGGAGGGCGCTCAATGGCTGTGTTGCCACGGACTTACTGGGGTGGGAGGGCGCTCAATGGCTGTGTTGCCACGGACTTACTGGGGTGGGAGGGCGCTCAATGGCTGTGTTGCCACGGACTTACTGGGGTGGGAGGGCGCTCAATGGCTGTGTTGCCACGCCCCTCCTCCTCTGCCTCTCTTGCTGCTGCCTCCTCCCTCTCCCGCCCCTTCCTCCCTTTTTTCTCGTGTTCCCTGCCCTTCTCTTGCTCATTCTCCCGTTCTCTCCCCCTCTCCTTCCGCCGCATGTCATCCCCCCTGCCCCGCTCCCTCTCACCCTCCCCATCACTGTCCCCTGCCACATCGTCCGGGCCCTCTCCCTTCCTCCCACCCCTCTCATCCTTCTCACCCCTCTCACTCCTCTCACCCTTCCCACCTCCCCCATCCGCCCCTTCTCCCCCATCACCCCCACCGCTCTCCAGGGGGTGCAGAGCCACATCCCCCTCGCCATCAGCGTCCCACATGCTGCCATAGTCCACCGCGTCTCCCCCCGCATCCTCCTCCTCCTCCCCCTCTCTCTCCTCCCGTTCCTTACCCTCTCTACCCTCCTCTTCTTCTCTCTCCTCCCCATCTTTCCCCTTTCTCTCGCTCTGCTCTCGACCCTCCCCCCCATCCTCCTCGTCCCCTTCCTTCTCTTCCTGCTTCTCCCGCCGCCCCCTCCTCCTCTCGCCCTCACCTCCTTCCTCCCTCTCTGCTGCAACCCCCTTCCCCTTACCCCTCCCTGCGCCCTTCCCCTCTCCTCTCTCTGCGGCCCTCTCCTCTCCCCTGCCCTCGCCCCTCTGAGCGCCCCTCCGCCCTGCACTCTCCATCTCCTCGCCTCCTTCACTCGATCCGCCTCTCCTCCGTCTGCTCCCGCCCTCCCTCCGCCCTTCCCTCCCCCCAGACGCCCAACTCCCTTCCCCATCCACCTCCCCTCCGCCCCTCGCCTCCTCCATCCTGCCCTTCACTCGTTTCTCCTTCATGCCCCTCCCCCTCACACACTCCTCATGCCTCCCCTCCGCCCACTCCTCCTCTCCTTCACTATCCCTGTCCTCCCTCCACTGCCTCCCCTCCCGCCCATCCCTCTTCCCTCTTTTCCCCGCATGCTCCTCCCCCCTGCCCACATTCTCCTCCCATCCGCGCTCATCCCACTCCTCCCGTCCCCCCCGCCTCCCCTTCTTCCCCTCCTCCTCGCCCCGCCGTCCCCCCCGCCGTTCCACAGACGCGCCTCTCTCTCCCCACCCATCCCACTCCTCCCTCTCCTCCTCCCACTCGCCCCCTCCACGCATTCCCTTTGCACGGCCAAACTCCCCTCCCTTGTCGTCCTCTCCCCTCCGCCCCACTCCCCTCCTCTTCTTCTCATCCCCCCCTCTCTCCTCTTTCCATTCTCTCTTCTCCCGCCTCCCCTCTTTCCCCTCCCCAAAGTCTCCCCCGCGCTTGTCAAACCCTGACACTCGGCCCCCCTCACCCCCCTCGCGCCCCTCCCTCCGCCACCCCATTTCCCCCGGCCTCCGCCCCTCCTCCTCCCCCCTGTACCTCCCCCGCCTCTCCTCCCCCCGTTCCCTTCCCCCCATGGGCCCCTCTCCGAACCCCCCTTCCTCCCTCCCCATGCCCCTTCCCCGCCGCCCATACCCCTCCCCTTCTCCTCCCCTTCCGCCCCTCCGGTCCCTCTCCCCCCACAGGCCCCCCTTCTCCCTCCCCCACTCCCTTTCCCCCCTGCCGTCCCTCCCCCTCGATTCCCCACGCCGTCCCCTCTCCTCCTCCCACTCTTCATCCGCCTCCTCATGCCCCTCCTCACCCCTCACTCTCCTCCTCTTCCTCTCCTTCCCCCCATACTCGTCCCAACCTCGCCCTTTCCCGCCCTCTCTTCCTCTCCCCTTCTCCATCTCTTCCTCCTCTTCCCACTCTCTCTGCCCCCTCCTCCTATCCTCTCTCCTCCTCCCCATGCCCTCATCCTCCCCAACCCCCTCCTCATCCTCCTCCTCCATATCCCCCCGGCCCCCTCTCCCCCTCCCCTGGCGCCTAGACTTCGCCCCTGCGCGCCCCTCCCCTTCCCCCATGCTCTCCCCCCCAGTCGCATAGCTGGCAGCATGGGAGGGGGAAAGGGGGGTTCGGTGCATGCCCATCCCCCCGGAAAAGCCCCCTCCGCCCCCCATATCGAATCCTCCCCGCCTGCCGCCTCCCCCCATGGGTCCCCCTGCGCCCCCCATCCCTCCCCCCATACCTCCCCCCATGCCTCCGCCCATGCCTCCGCCCATGGGTCCGCCCATGGGGCCAGCACCCCCAGGGGGGCCGCGGAGGAACATGGGGTGCGCATGGGGGGACAGCATGTGCGGGGGGAGCATTCCCCCCTTCATGCCCATGGGCGGACTGGGCCTGGGGGAGGGGGGGAGGTGGGGGGGGGGTGTAAACGGGGGGAGCAAGGGTGGAGTGAGCGGGTGAACGGAGGGGGATGGGGGAGGGCGTAGGGGACAGTGAAGCAAAGTGGGGGAGGGGAAGGTGAATGGTAGGGTGCAGGGAGAGGGGTCAGAAGGGCATGTAGGGAGACAGTGGCATGGGGAGAGGATGGGACATGCGGAGAGATGGGGACATGTGGGGAGACAATATGACCTACACTAGATATGACATGTACAATACACCACACCACTCCACACCACTCTTGCCACCTTAAAAGACATGGCCTGCCGCCCCTATCATACCAGTTCACATCATCACCCCTCACCATCACACACTCTCGCCCCAACAGCCACACACGTATCCTCACCTCATCATGTGCCCTCCGCCTGGCCCCATGCCTCGCCCCCTCCCTCCACCCTCCATGCCAAACCCCCCCACTCCTCCCCGCCCCATGCCCATCCCTCTCCCCCCCATGCCCATCCCCGCCCCCATCCCTGGCCCCATGCCCGCGCCCATGCCCATGCCATCGGGTCCCCCAGGGAACATGGGGGGAAAGGGGGGATGCTGTCCGCGGGGGAGAGGGGGAGGTGGGGGGAGGGCACCAGGCGGGCCCCCCGCACCTCCGCCCCCTGCTCCCCCTGCCACTGCTCCAGATGCGCCCTCCACAGAGGCAGCACGGGACGGCGGCCCAGCAGCAGCAGCGGCGCCTGAAGAAACAGCTGGGGTGCCACCTGAGCTGGCTGGCCCTCCCCCAGGTGCGCCCTGCTGCCCTGATACCGCCCTGCCTCCCTGCCCCTCCCCCTGCATCCTCCCACCTACCCCCCCCCCACTACCACTAGGTCCTCCCCCTCCCACGGATCCTCCCCCTGCCCCTCCCCCTCCGCCTCCCCCTGCTGCGCCCATCCCCCTGTGCGCGTCAGCAAAAGCATGAGGGGCGGCAGCCAGAAGATGGGCGGCGGGGTGAGGGGGCTGTGGTGGAGGCGCGTCCATGGCCAGCCCCACTACCGGCACCTGCAGGGGCGCACACGGGAGGCCAGGTAGGGCGGGGGTGGAATGAGGGCAAGGACAGGGAAAGGAGGGGGGCAGTGAGCTGGGGGATGGGACGGAGTGGTGTGCATGGGGAAGCAGCAATCCCATCACCATGCCATGCAGCCGCTGTCACATCACTCCTCTCCCCATGGATGAATGGACCATGTGCCTCAAGACTCACGCCACCATGACGTCAGCAGTCGCCTCACCTCTATGATGACGTCAGCATCCACGGGACGCGGGCGGCGGGTCTCCCAGGAGGGGCGGCGCTCGATGAAGAAGACGGCGTCGGCGTGCGGGCGGCTGACCATGGCGTGCGTGACAGCTGTCACCAGCTCGGGCGGCATCTCTGGGTCTATGTCCTGACAAGGATGAGGGCGGGCGAGGAGGGGGAGAGGGAGTGTGGTGTGGCGGGGTAGAAGAGGAGGGGAGGATGGGAGAGGTTTGAGCAACAGGGTTACAAACAGGGGCATGAGGAAGAGAAGCAGGATGGGGAAGGAGGTGGGGGGTTTGTGACATGTGTGCTTCATGTAGTGCAGTGCAGAGTGCCATTGCACCCACTTTGCACAGCCCGGTGCTGCTGACTGGATGGGTCTGTAGCATCGCGTGATGCCACTGCCGTTGACTTGCACGTGTGCTGCAGTTGCTAGCACAGACGGAGTGGCAGTGACTAGTGTTGAGTGGCGGTGAGTGGAGTTGACTGGTGACTGACCTCAGTGGGCATGCGCGACTCAAACACGGGAATGCGGCTCTGCATGCTCGCCTCCAGCCGCAGCTGTGCCTGTTGGCGGAAGGGGATGGGGGGGGGGAGGTGAAAGGAGTGTGGGGGGGATGAGGAGGTATGGTGGGATGGGAGGACAGGATGGGGAAAGGGTGAGGAGGCGTGAGGGAAAGAATGGGAGGAGGGAGCAGAGCAGGCAGTGGCAGTAGTGGCACGAGAGCACCAGAAAGGGCGAGGGAAGGGAGGGAAGGGAGGGAAGGGAGGGAAGGGAGGGAAGGGAGGGAAGGGAGGGAAGGGAGGGAAGGGAGGGAAGGGAGGGAAGGGAGGGACACACGAGGCGGTGACTTTTGAGACGTCTCAAAAGGCGAGGGAAGGGAGGGACACACCAGGCGGTGCCAGTAGTGGCGCCATGCCCCTACCAGGCGGTGGCAGTAGTGGCGCCATGCCCCCTCGTTGAGGTCGAAGTTGAAGTAGTCACTCACATCCGCTCCCGGGCGCCGCCATGGCTTGTCCTCCAGACTGTCTATGTCCAGGTCAAACACCGTCCTGCATGGTTGACCCAGTCACACCAGTCAAACAAAGTCAAAGGTCGCAAAAGTTTCTTGGTCAGGTAAAGAAGTGATGATGGGCAGCTGAAATGGTGTAGGTACTACAATGGGGCATTCACTAGAGTGGCACTCACTTGGTGGGCGGCAGGTTGATCTCTATGTGATACCCCCTCCCCGACCCGTGCTGCCACACTGCTGGCGGCCTCCCCCCCTGCCCGCCCTGCTGCTGGTACTGCCCCTGCTGCCCCGCCCCTCCCCCCATTGCTGCGCCTCCTGCGCCCATACGTCCCCCCATGCCTCCTGCCCACCCTCCCCCCTGCCCGCCAGCTCCCTCTGGCCCTCCCCCTGCTGCAAGCGCGCCAGGGGCGGAACCAGGGGGGCCGGGGGGCGTTGCGCCCAGGCCTGCGCCTTCCATGCCCATGGGGGAATGGCCCTGCGGAAGAGGGGAACGGGAGGGGGGAAGGAAGGGGGGGAATGGGTCATGGGCGGACGGGGATCGGGGAAGCAGGGAGGTGGGGATGAGGTTGTGCGGTGGTGGGGGAGCATGTGATGACCAAGTTCACATGCATGCGGGGTGCAGAGCAGACGGACAGCATGGCGAGCAGTGTCAGGTGACAGGTGCAGCAGGGCAAGCAAGGCAGGCAAGGCAGAGACCGACAGGAGCAGCACCTTGGAGGGCGGAGTCACTCGGTACCCACGCCCGGCTCCCCCTCCTCCTTGCACTGCCGGGGTGCCCGGCCCCCCCGCCCCACCTCTCCCTTCCCCCTCTCCGCCCTCCGCGCCTTCCTCCCCCTGGCCTCCCCCCGCGCCTCCAGGCATGCCCCCGTATTCCCCCCCTGCGCCCATCCCGTACATGCCCTCCTCCCCCATGCCCTCGTCCCACTCGCCGACAGGTGGCACCGGGTCATTGGCCACGATGATCAGATCGTCATCATCATCATCCTCACTCTCCTCATCCTCCTCCTCTTCCTCCTCCTCGTGCCCCCCTCCCTCTGCTCCGCCCGCCCCATCCGCTACCGCCTCCTTCCCTTCTGCGCTCCCAACCCCCTTTTCCTCTTCCGCCTTCATTTCCCCTTCCCCTTCCATCCCCTCCCCCTCTCCCTCGCGCTTCCCCGCCTCCACCTCCTCCCCCACCCCGGCCCGTCCCCCAAGCCCTTCGCGCGCATCCCCATCAACGTCCATAGCTACCCGCTCGTCCCCGCCTCGCCCCTCTGCTCCGCCCCCTGCCTTCCCCTGCTCGCCTTTTGACGTCTCCGCCTCCTCCCCCGCATCTTCCCCCGCCTCTTCCGCCTCTTCCGCCTCGAGCTCCGCGAAGGGATACAGGCTCTGCTCGCCCTCCGCGCCTTCCTTTCCGCCAACGACACCGCCACCTACTCCCCCACCATCACCGTCCCCCCCCGCGCTGTATAGAAACTTCTCCAAATCCTCTTCCTCTTCCTCCTCCTCCTCCTCCCCCTCTGCTGCCTCCTGCTCCCCCTCCACTCCCTCGGTCCCAACCCCAACCCCCCCTGCGCCACCTCCCCCTGCACTCTTTGCGGCCACACCACCTTCCGCCCTAGCGCCCGCATCCTTCCGCCCTTCCTCCGCCTCCCCCATTTCCGCATCCTCTTCCCCCTCCGCTTTCATTCCCCCAAGAAACTTTTCCTTTTCGTCATGCCGCTCAACGTCTCCCACTACAGGCACATTCGATACAGCAGCAGCGTCAGCGGCGGCGGAGGCAAAACGGTCATGGGAGTTCGAGGTCGGCCCATCGGCGTCGGCGCCCAACGCCGCCCGCTCGCCCTCATCAGCGCGGTTTTCCCCGCCAATGCCGCCTGCTTTGCCGCCACTGGGGCTCGAACCCCGCTCCTCCATCGCCTCTTCGTCTGCACGATCCTTGGCACCCCCGTACAGCTGATTGTAAAATGCATCCTCCTCGTCCTCATCGTCCTCCTCCTGCTCCTCCTCGCCGCGCCCGCGCTCCTGCGATCCATCTCTCCCCGATGGCGTCGACGAAGCACCGGGTGCCGCTCCCCCGTCCGCGTCATAAGCTTCTCCGGCATTCGACGGACGAGTGGCAGCAGGCGAAACAGGCGGCGAGGTGAGAGGGGTAGGGATTGCTGCTGCTACCGGCGTAGCGTGCACGGCCTCGCGGCCGTTGGGTGCGGATGCGGCCGGAGGGGGTGGACTCGACGGAGCTATAGCAATAGGCTTAAGAGGCTCCGGAGTAGGTAAGGTGGTGGTGGAGGATGGCGGTGCGATTTGGTCGATAGGCTCGGATTTCGCGGGTACGGGAATCGCAGGAGCGGGAGGTGCGGCAAGCGACGAGCCGTAGAGCAGCGCCTCGTCGTCGGCATCCTCGAGGTCGTCGTCGCCGCCCAGCCCATATTCGTACGCCAATCGCACGGATGCGGGAGCGGCGGCGGCGCTCGCGGGGACGGATGCCGCGCCCACGTCGCCGTAGAGATCTTCGAAATCGTCGTCCTCCATTCCGCTAGGTCTACCGACTAAATGTCAGGGAAGGGAGTCGCATTCTAGAATTCCAAATGGACAAACTTGACTGATTGAGCGGGCTGGTTCTTCGCTTTGCAGATCGTGAACTCGATATAGGTAGGTTTCCATTGATACACCTGACTGATGCACTCTGGATAACCACTTGTTGTCGATAAAAATGCAGTAGACATATTCCACAATAGCTGCACTGTTTCTCTTTGTTTTCATAGTTGTCTCCATTCAACACAAGCACCCGAAAGATAATAATGAAACACCATTTGAATAAACTCGGAAAAGGGGTTGTCCCCTCTCCCTCTCTTTCCAATCACACCAGGTGCGTTCATGTCCTCGATGAGGACTCGCCCAATCATCCTCCACCTCAGATTGCAAGCTCCACCAGGTTCAACCTCACGACTGCTGACATCAGCACTTTCCCCCAGCCACAACCTCTCATGTCCTTGGCTTGGGTTGGATTGGAGCCATTCTTCCCCCTAACCCCCCTGGCCCAACATCGGGTCAATTCTATCCGAGCCGGAATCTCTTCCCAGATGCAACCCCGCTCGGTTCGCGCCTTACCTGGGGAGGGGAGGATGCACCAAAACTCCGAATCGCGAACCGTGAAATCCATCCACCAACGCACTTGTTTCGAATGCAAATCCTCACCATGTCCCAGACACATAAAGTTCGGCATTTACGAAGTTATCATTTCGAAGTCATTCGGTGTGCCAATCAACCTTAGAGCCTCTCACCCACACGTTTTTCCCGACAATTCGCTGCCATGGCTCGCACTCTGATCTTCGTCGCCCTCGTCCTCGGCGTTGTCGCCCTTGCAAATGGCGCCTCCGTGCCCTTCTCTTACGACAAGAGCGGCACTGACTGGACGGTAATATACACACCCATCATTCCGCGCCTCTCCACATGCAGTCCGCAGCGTTTTCCAAGTTCCTGACCAACAAACGTGAGCAAATGCGGTAATTTCAGCGATGCTCAACCCCGCGTTTGTAATTTCTGACATTGCGCAGGGCGCGTGCGCGTCGGGTGAGCGGCAGTCTCCGATCAACATCGTGATGGACGAGGCGGTGCTGGGCGCATCCAAGGAGCTCTTCCACCTCAACTACTCCAAGGCCGCCTCCGTCGCCGTCCTCAACAAGGGCTCCACCATCCGTGGGTTCCCTCTCGCCACCTCATTGCATTTCTCTCCATTCACTTCGTTATTCTGTTTTTTCGTCTGTTTCTGTTCCTCGTGGCAACTTCGCGACATTGCCTCACGCTTCGTGTACGTTTTCCTCCCGTGCTCCCGTTCCGTGCAGAGGTGGTGCCGGCGGCGACGGAGTCGCACCTGCTGCACCTGTCGTCGGGCACGTACTCGCTGCTGCAGATGCACGTGCACGCCATGTCGGAGCACACGGTGAACGGGCTATTCGCGCCCATGGAGGCGCACTTTGTGCACGTGCACGTCGATGATCCCAAGAAGCTCGCCGTCGTCGGCGTCATGCTGCGCCTCCACCGCGACGACGCCAACTCCACCTGGATCACCCAGTGAGTTCCCCTCCCCGCCGCTTGCTTTGTGCACTGTTAATTTCCCGGGATACCACCTCATAGAACAAAAACGCCACATTTTGCAAGAGAACAGGGGTTTACTTATTAACTCGCTTCATGTATCACCTGGCAGGTGGCTGGACCGCGCGCCCGCGGCGAACGGCGCGAACGTGACTGTCCCCGTGAGCGCGGACTTCTGGACGGCGATGCTCGCACCGTCCATGGGCTTCTGGACGTACCCCGGGTCGCTCACGACCCCCGAGTGCGACGAGATCGTGCAGTGGCACGTGCTTCGCAAGTCGCAGTCGCTCTCCGTCGCACAGACCATCCAGTTCATGAACATGATGGCGGTTACCAATAACGGCGAGCGCACCGACAACCGCGTGCCGCAGCCCATCAACGGCCGCATCGTCTACTTCTACTACCCCGAGCTCGTCTCCCAGTAGCCCCGCTCCACGCCGCCGCTAGCCCTAGCTTTTTCCGTCGGCTGGATTCGAGTCAGGATGGGTAGGATGCCGACGTAGTGGGAGCGATTGGAGGGCATGGTTGCATGTGCCTGCCTCTGCCGATAGTAGTGGTTTGCTTCAGCTGTGCTTGTCACCCTTATGTGCATGCCTTGCATTATCAGTAATAAAGCCAGTCCTTCGAACGCAGAGGCACTTCATCCAACGTAGCCCCTCTCACTCTCCATGTACTACCTTAAGACCAAAAGCTCAGAACAGCCTCAATATTCCTGAAGCTATGGTCGAATGAACAAGTGTTGCTACAACATCACGGCAGAATATGTGTGTGTTCACGTCCAGAGAGGGCCTTGTTGTCCACTCCAGCTTTGCCTGGGCGTTGTCAAGTGAATGGCAGCAGACGTGCCACCAGCCTCATAAAACACTACAGTGTCAGAAGGTGAGCAGGGAAGCAGGGAGTTGATTGCCTGCTGAAGGGCACCTGCATGCCGTAACAGATTATATAGAACTAGAGAGTGCCAGCCAGCCCTCAGCATGTCTGCCAGCCCTCAGCATGTCTGCCACCTCATGTACAAAAGCCTCAACAACCCAAGCAAGAACCCACATGCTATATGCAACATTTCGCTTGGAGGGTGGGTACATAGCCAGCTAACACATGTGCTGATTTGTCCACTCACACCATGATATGCAAACAGTGTGCTAGCTGATCATATAACATAATTTACAGCTACGAGTAGATCCCAATCCTCTAATTCAGCGCGAGCACTTTCTTCATGTGCTCGTACGTGACGTACGTGATGCTGGCAGCGGGCACGACCTTGAGTAGGTTCGGCAGCACACCTCGGAAGAAGGCATGCACGCCCCCCTCCTGCCACAGCTCCCGTGTCACCTCCCCCATCGTCGCCCCCCTGCCTGCCACAGCATTGACAGACAGCGCTGCTGCTGGCAATCCCAGCGTAGGAGTGCTGCTTGGTGCATGCGGTGCGCTCACGTGCGCTTGCAGCCTGCCACACGGGATGCCAAGTGGTATGGTGTCTATTTTGGCAAGAAGAAGCTGGGCTGATAGTAGTTTGACCAGCGGCCGCGTGAAAAGGTGCAATCAATGTGTGAAGCATGTGTTATGGCAGGAGAGGGGAGGGGCGGGGCATGTGTAATGGCAGGAGAGGGGAGGGGCGGGGCATGTGTTGAGAAGGGGCCTCACCTTGTGCGGATGACCTGCAGGGGGAATACGAGGGTGGCGGCCACCGTGGCTGACACCGTGCCACACGCCAGCTGCAGCACCGGCGACGCCTCTGTCCAGCACACAAGGGGCACACGCAGGGCACAAGACACGTGGGGCCAGAGGGGATTGACCAGAGGGAGGAATGAGCATGAGGCAGGGTAGTGGTCAGGGGAGCAAGGGCCGAGTTCCAAGTGAGGATGAGGACGAGGCTTTGGGGTGGGCAGCACGTTGAGTGCAGCAGCAGTAAATACAGCAAAGGGGGTGCCGTTCCATGTCGGGCCATGAGTGCCTGCACCCACCTGGCCGGCGTTCGATCCATGGCGTGAAGGCATCTCGGAGTGTCTCATACGCCGCCAGGTCGATGCCGGCGAATGGGATCATGCCCAGGATGGACGGCAGCAGCCCGCGGAACATGGCGCCCGCCCCCTCCCTCTGTAGAATCTCCGCCGTCAGGGCGGCGAGGGGCGGCGGGTTTCGGCCGTATGTGAGGTGGTAGGTCTGCAGGCGCGTTTTGATGAGGTCGAGTGGGTACACGGCGGTCTGTGCCACGGCGCCCGCCATGCCCCCTGCCACCAGCCGTGTCAGCGCTGTTTCACTTGATTTCTGGCCACACGCGTGGAAAGAGTGGGAACAGGGGGGTGTGGAAACGGTTAGAAAGAAAGAAGGAGCACATGAATGCACACGTGTGCTTGGTCAATGGAATCAAGTGAGAGTGCACAGGTGGAGGTGGAAACAGGGAGGAACGGAGTTAATTGCACGGCTGGAGAATCTCATAAAGTAGCTGGCCTCACCTCAGCAGCACCAGCACCCCCAGCAGCAGCCGGGGGGGAGATGGCGCGTTTGAGCAGCTCGTAAGCATAGAACTTGATAGCTGACTCGGGCGCCACCTTGACCACGTTGATGCCGTTGCCCTTGAAGAACGCCCCCACGCCCCCCTCCCCATACACCTGCTGCACGGCTCGCCACAGTGTCAGCCGCCCGTGCGCCACCTGCTGCCGCCCGGCGATTGTGGCCTGCCGCCCAGACTGCATATTTTGCCACCAGAGAGGCATGTTGGGCGGCAGTGCAGGGGGCGGACCCGAGAGAGAGGGGGGGGAGGGGGAGGGGGCGCGGAGGAGAGAGAACTGCCAGCGGGAATGGCGTGGGTGGGGGTGGTGGGGAGCAGGGGAGGAGGCGGAAGAGGAGGGAGGAGTGGCATGGGATGGGGGTGGTGGGTGGTGGGAAGCGGGACTGGACGATTGCGCTGCTGCTGGTGCTGCTGCTGACTGCAGTGGTGGTTGTGGTGGTGGTGAAACGGATGGTTGGCGTGGCGTGGCAGCTGAGGAGTGCCCGGCACTGGTGGCAGCATCAGGAATGGCGGCACTTGACAACCTTCCTCCTGCCCCTGACCTTGCTGCTGCTCCTTCTGCCGCTGTTGACGCTGCAGCCACTGTCCCTCGAGTGCCACCTCCACCAGGTGCACCTGTCTGTGCGCCCCCTGCTGCTGCGTGCACAGCTCTCCCTGCTGCACCACTCGCGCCCGCAGCCCTTGTGGCACTGGCCGCCACAGCAGCAGCAGCACCTCTAGCACCACCAGCAGCACAGGCACCAGCGGGGGCGACAGCAGCAGTGGCAACAGTAGCAGCAGCAGCGGGGGGCGTATGGGTACTACTGGCCTTGGCGCACTGCAGGAGCACCTTGAGGCGGTCCAGGGGTGCCGTGGCCGTGCGAGACACGGCACCCGCCACACCGCCCGCCAGGAAGTAGCGCCATGCCAGGGCAGAGGCGTCGGGAGCGGTGGAGAGCGATGCGGAGAGGCCCGACGGGATGACTGGCTGCTCTCCTATGTCCACCTGCTGCACTCGCTCCCAGTACTGCGGGGTGAAGGGGGGTGTGGGGAGGGGAAGAGGAGTGGGGGGGGGGAAGAGGGGATGGTGGGGGAGGAGGAGAGACGATTTTGGAGGCGCCTAATCATCCCACTGCTCGCCTATGCCCACCTGCTGCACTCGCTCCCAGTACCGCCAGGGGGGGGAGAGGAGGAAGGGGCAGCGATTGGCGTGGCAGGGGATGCGCAGAGAAGTGGGGAGAAGGGGCGACGGCATTGGCGGTGGGGAAGGGTACGGTGAGACCATGGGGTGAGGGCATTGTGAAGGCATGGGGAGGGCTTGGGATGGCATGGGGAAGGAATGGTGACGGCATGGTAATGGCAGCAGCAGGCGCACAGAGAGAGAGAGAGAGAGAGAGAGAGAGAGAGAGAGAGAGACAGGGGCACGGACCTGGTAGGCGGTGGCGATGGAGGTGGCGCGGTGGGGGAAGAGCAGCAGGAAGTCGCGCCACTCGTTGAAGGACAGCACGCCATCGTGGTTGCGATCCATCTTCTCCATGAACGCCTGTAGCTCGCCCGCCGCCAGGTGTATGCCTGCCGCGTGGTGGGGGGGTGGGGGGAGAGGCATGGGGGGTTGGGGGGAGAGGCATGGGGGGTGGGGGGAGAGGCATGGGCATGCGGAGGGGTTTGGGCATGCGGAGGGGTTTGGGCATGCGGAGGGGTTTGGGCATGCGGAGGGGTTTGGGCATGCGGAGAGGTATGGGCATGGGGCCTTGTGGTTGCGGTCCATGCAGTCCATGAACGCCTGTACCTCGCCCTCCACCAGGTGGATGCCTGCCGTGCATCAAGGGAGGGGGTGGGAGGAATGGGGCATGCACTCATGTGTGGGAGGGCAGCGGTAGAGATGAGAGAGCGAAGAATGTGCAGCGGAGAGAAGGCAGCGGTGGGTGGTTACCAGCGTGGTGCAGCGCGGCAGCGAGTTCATGCAGGGAGATGGCGCCATCGAAGTCGGTGTCGATGCGCTGGAAGAGCCGGTACAGCTGCACCTCCTTGCTGTCCATGTACCGATGGAACTCGTTATAGTCACACACGCCGTCCCCGTTCTGCACCCAGCCGGGGGCGGAAAGGGGAGGGGAGGGGAGAGAGTGGGACGGCGGAGGAGGTCAGTGCGCAGTGAGTAGAACGTTGAGGAGCGGAACACGCCAATCACCGCTGGTGTGTGGGAGTGCGCAACGAGCGTTACCAGCACCTGGTCGACGGCGGCGAGCGCGCACCTGGTCGATGGCGGCGAGCGCGCACCTGGTGGATGGCGGCGAGCGCGCACCTGGTCGATGGCGGCGAGGAGGTCCTTGGAGAACTTGTAGTCCACCGGCACGCCCATGCGCGCCAACCCCCTCTCTATCTGCCTCCGCGTTAGCGCGCCTGCCACGCGCCACCGGGGGGAAGGCGGGGGGGAGGGGAGGCAGCAAGAGGCGGACAAGGTTGCAAGGGGCGCGGAATGACGGCTCGCAGAGATCGGCGCGCTGTGCTACCGAGTTATCAAGCTGCCATGTCACGGCGCGGTGCGATAAGCCACCATGCTACACCATCTGTACCCCCCTGTTTTACCTTGAAAAGCGTGCAACTACGCCCTAGTACTCTGCGCGCATTTCATCAGCGGCTATTCCAATTTCATCCCATCGCTATTCCCGCGTCGCCCCACCTCTATTTTCGGTGTCGAACGTCTGAAAAAGCGCGCGAATGCGCTTTTCGCGCGACGCGGGGCTCTCGTTGGCGGCCAGATGCACCTCCACCAGCCCCAGCCCCACCGCCGCCCACTCCCCGCCCCTATCACCCGCCGCCTGCCCCAACTCCGCTCCGCCCGCCGCCTGATCCACGTCACTCCTTGCGTCGGCGATCGCCGCTTGGCGCGCAGCGGGATCTGCGTGGGTCATGGCGGAGCTGCGGACGGCAGGGACGGAGTGCCGCGAGCAACGGCGGTAGCAGGGCTGTAATGCGACAACCCGCACAATGCCTCGCTTCCTCTCCCTAAAAGGTGATTACTTTTTTCGTATAGAAAGTGGAGAGGAAGCGCCAGAGGGCCACGTGGGAATTTCAGTGGCTGACACGCGCCGTGCGAAGTGCAGTGAATAAGGGATTGACTGCTGGTGGAACGCCAAGTCAAGCCGTGGGGAAAATATGCCACTCGTAATCAACAAGGGTCTCGATAATATGTTTGGTGAAAAAATAACGGGTACGGTCACTGCAAATGGTGTTTTCACGTGTTTGATAAAATGTTTCACGGAATCAGTCACAATCAAATGGGAAAAATAACGCGAATGGTCATAGATGAAACTCCTGCCCAAAAAAGATAATACCCAAAACCAGCCTGGATGCATTTTTGGATGAATCGACCCTAAACACAACTCGCCAGGTGTTTAAGGTTGATCCGTTCCCAAACCGCATCCGATTCCGATTGGGTTTTAGTATTTTTAGAAATTAGCTGATTGGTTGGGCGGGAGCGGGATTTTTGTAGAGTTTCAAGAATTCTTGGCGGGAGTTACATGTGTGACCATTCGCGTGATTTTTCACCTGTTGTTAGTGACTGAATCCGTGACCCCACTTACCAAACCTGTCAGCAAACCCGATACAGTGTCCGTACGCGTTTATTTTTTACCATTCACGTTATCGAGTCCCATGTTGGTTACTTGTGACATATTTTCCCCAAGCCGTGAATGGATTGCGAGGGATGCCTGGCAGCCCCGCTGCAAGGGGGAGGTAATGAAAGGACGGTTCGCGAATCTCGCCTGCTTGTGTACCCCGATGCGGATTGCGCGGAGATTCCCCGCATGGAGCTCAGGTGAGCAACACCTGAGCGCAGAGGGCGGTGAGCGAATACTGCACATCGCACAGTGAAGGCGGGATGGACTGCGAACGCGCGTGGCCCGGCGCTGATATTTCCCGCCCCGGGGGAAACAGTTCCCAGGGTGGTGAAACAATGGTACAGAAATCAAATTTACATGCCGTGGGCCTAGATTTCTAATAAATGCATACGAGTGCTGTACATTAATGAACATGAAAAGCACTAATACAAATACTAGCTTCACCTTGGAGCAGCATCTTGAAACACCGCCTTGCCAGCATTAACATATGACCCGTCATCAATCCCATTCTCTGCGCCTCTGTCACTTCCTCCCCCGGCATCTCTGCATGACGACGAGCGCCAGGAGTTCCGCCCTTCCCCACTCCGCCGGCCGCTGGCGTCTCTACCACCGTTCCTGTCTGCAATGCTGCTCACTGCGGCCTCATTAGCGGAAGCTGAAGAGGCAGAGGCGGATCGGCTGTGGCCTCCCGATGTGGCGGAGACAAGGGAGGCTGATCTGCTGTGACCTGACATGGTCGACCCACTGGAGTGTGATCTAGAATGCCCGATGGCAACGATGTGTTGCATCGACTTCACCAGGTCCTGAATCTGCGGCCGTGCCACTGGGTCCTCACTGATGCAGTGCTTGGCCAGAACAAGAAGCTTCTGCGCGGCAATGCGGGAGAATTGGCCCTTCAAACGTGGATCCAGGATGATGTCTAGATCCGGGCGGCGCACCGAGATGTGTGGCCGAATCCAGGCTGTCAAGCCGCCCTCTCCGTTGGCATCCTGGTCTTCGTCGCTTGAGGGCGAGCGGCCAGTGAGGAGTTCCAGGTAGACGACCCCCAGCGCGTAGATGTCACTCTTGGGGGTCAGGTGGCCTGGTGGTGGCGAGGGTTGGGGATACAGCAAGGGGTGGTGCGATGAGTTGAAAGTGCACACAGCACAACACAGTCTGCGTGAGCTGTCATGCCATGAAAGCCGTGGGTTGGACCCCTACTGCTCTTCAGGCCAGTCATGCAGCTGCATGCAGTGGAGCGGGCGTGCACCTGTCTCAAGGTACTTAGGGTCGAGGTACCCCATGGTGCCCAGCACGCGTGTGGATATGTGCGTCTGCCCCGCCTCCGGCCCCACCGTCGCCATGCCAAAGTCCGTCAGCTTCGCCCGCATGCTCTGCGCGGCACCCAACGGGAGAGCGCGGGAAGGGGAAGTGGCAGCGCATGGGGGACGGCTGGCGTGAATGGGGTAGGGCATTCCTAAAACAAATCCAAGTTGCGTGCGAAGTGGTTGGGGATGAGGATGGAGCGCCGGCAGAGGGGGGGTTGGGAGGGGGGGTTGGGTTGGGAATGGGGGCGCACGTGGTCGAGGAGGATGTTGCAGGACTTGAAGTCGCGGTGAATGATGTTCTCCGCGTGCAGGTGCGCCAGCCCCATGGTCGCATCCACTGCAATGCGCACGCGCTCCTCCCACGTCAGCACCCGCCGCACACGACTGCTGCTGGAGTCGTCTGAGAAGAGCCAGGCGTCAAGGCTGCCGTTACTGAGGAGCTCATAAACGAGGATGGCCTCCTCCCTGTCCGTGCTGTAGCCCAGCAGGCGCACCAGGTTGGGGTGGCTCAGCCGCCCCAGCAGCAGCACCTCTAACTGATGATGCGGGACCAGAGTGGAGGAGAGAGGGGAGGAAAGGGAGAGGGATTGAAGGCGGGGAGAAAAAGGAAGGACGAAGGGTAAGGGGTGGCGGATGCACAGCGTTTACTGCACGCGAATCACGTCCCACGGCCCATCATTTACCCCAGTGACCCACCATCCATCCCCATTGCCCACCATCCACTCGCCGAAGCCCTGAAAGCTATCAGCATCGAGCACTTTGATCGCCACTTTGCGCTTCTGTCCACGCGGCAGCTCGCCGAGCCAGTCCGGCACGGAGCCGCGGTACACCTTGCCGAAGCTGCCCTCGCCCAGCAGGTTGCCGCGCCGGAACCGCCCCGTGGCCGCCTGCAGCTCGCGATACGAGAAGCGCCGCAGGTCGTTTGCGAACGACGCGTTCGACGCGTTGTCGTCGTAGATATTCGCCACTGAACCGGTGAGACGGGGGTGTGGAGGGGAGGGGGAAGACGGGGACGTGGGTGCAGGCGAGGGACGACGGAAGGACTCGCAGACGCACACTGGGTTGCCGCGACACCGCATGGGGGCTCAACGTAAGGGTTGCGAGAAGTGGTGTGGGAGAGCATGCCGACGCGCATACCTGGCTCTATCTCGGAGGAACCCCCGTTTGGAAAACAAGGAAATGGCCCGCCTTTATGCTTGCTGTGACGACTGGCGGGACTACTGCAGCACGCTCCCATAGTTATGAGTTCCAAAGAAAAAAAAGTTAGTGCACACGTGTAAACGACGTAATGAGGCGATTGCGAACAGCAATAGACGGTATTAGCTCGGAGAACTCTAGCTCGGATAATAGGCCGCGGCTTCGAAACGAAGTGTTCTCCCTAGTAACATCTTCACGGAAACAGGAAGCATGGCGACCTAAAATTTTACAGGACCTAGGTAAGCGGATATCGCGGTGCCGACTCGACGGAATCTGCACTAATCTGGACGAGTATGCGAGGAAGAGAACGAAGTGGAAAGGGGGTGCTGCGTGCGCGAGAAGTGAATGGCGGAATGGGTAGGCTGCGCGAACCTTGAACTCTCTGCGCGGGCGAGAGGCAACGAATGCCACTGCAGTGGCGGTGACGGAGACTTGGAAGAAAATCTGCCGATGGCCGATTCTTCTGCTTGCTCTCCTTCAGACCGTCGATTCTCTGTCCACTGGGAATAGTTGGCGCATATGTCAGCAAGGGAGATCAGTTTGACTCGCTCACTGAATGTGAACAACAATAATGAATCATGATGACTGACATCACATGACATAATGAAAACAAAAAACAAAAAACAGTGTCAGAGGTCAGGAGGTATAGATGGAAAAAAGTCATGTGAAGCGTGTAGGCACTTCACTTTTGTTTGTGAATATTCTGACACTAGTTTAGGTAGACGTTTGGCTCTCAATGGCGCGATGGGTGAAACTTAAGGGATAGAGGGTCGAACGATCAGGATACTCAACAAGTGCCATACGTGGTACTGCAAATGTTGTGAAGGAAATTATATTCCTGATACGGGGCCCCTTAAATGCCCTGTAAATACAATTTTTGTCATAAGTGAAATGTCTCATTCTTCATCACTATCTTGCTCCAGGCGGTTGATGTATTTGTCATAGTATATGGCAGCTTTCTCTGTGTCTCTTAACTCCGTATAGCAGTCCGCAATCGCTCCGTATGCCTCTGTGTCACCAGAATGCTCTCCCGTTGCCACTGACTTCTCCAAAACCAGTTGATGATAGCCAATGGCTTCCTTGTACTTCCCTTGCCTTTGACAAGCGGCTCCTGCAGGGGAGGAAGCAGCATGTGAACAAGGACAGGAACATTCAAGCAGGGGTTTGAGTGGTAGGTCACCGCATACTTCCTTCCATCTTGACAAACGTGCATATGTGAGAATGCAGGTGCTGTCACCGCACTTACCAAGTCCTCTGGCAGCTTTCTTCTCTTCAAGCGCATCTCCCAGCTCCTTTGCCTTGCTCAGAGCCACATGGAACTCCACAAATGCCGACCCCGGGTGCCCATCCCGCAGGTGCTTCTTGCCCTCTTTCAGAATGCGGAGCAGCTCTGCCCTCTCATCGCTCGCAGCTTGAGCCGTTTGACTCATAGCCGTTGCCCTAGCTGCATCTGCAGGTGCTTCAGCAGCGGGAACTGCTGCTGCCTCTGCCATGCTGCTGGCGCCGGCAGCAGGCAAGGCAGCGCTAGGAGGAGGCGCGGAGTAGGTGAGGGAGGGAGCGTCCAAGCGGGCTTGCCTCTTGAGGCTCATGTTGATCTGCCTCAACTGCTTGTTGATGCGTTCCATCTCCGCCCCCTGCTGCAATGCCATGTACCCTGCCACGTGGACATTCATGACAGTCAGGGATGGGGTGCACACGTGTCTGACAAGGATAGGTTTGACCTGGCTGCGCATCAGGCGCCACGGCCAGCGCGTGTAGCTGCACTCATCTTACTGTGCCAAGATGTTATTCTGCTTTGTTAAATTTTAACTCGCAGGTGTGGGAATGCGGCGAACGAGACCGAGTCTGGGCCACACCTACACACGAACCCAGCGTGCAACCCAGTTTCGAGGACCTCCCCTGGGCCATCCCCCCCTTTTTACTCACCTCCCACAGCAGCGCCAGTGAGCGCAATGAACTCGAGCGCGCACGTCACGGCCACCACAGTGTTGAAGTCCGCCCCGCCCAGCAGCTCCCCGCACGCCTGCGCCGCTGCTGATGCGGCGGAACCAGCCGCTGCGCCATCAGCCGCAGCTATAGCGGCTACTGCCAGAGCACGGGGGGCGGAGGCCAGCAATGCCGCTGCCAGTCCCGCGGCAATGAGCGGCTGGCGGAGAGGGGAGTCCCAGCTGGCTGAAGAATCCGTGGAGTTGATTCGACCTAGGGAAGCTGCGACAAGGAAGGGGACGCAATGAGGAGCGCGGGAGAGTGCATTAGGACATGGCGAGGGAAGCCGCGGGAAGGCGTGGAGATCGCATGGATTCGGAGTTTATCTCACCAGCAGGCTGCGATGGATGGAGTCGCGTTGAGGAATCGCAACTGGCCGGCGAGCACCTTAGTTGGCTGATGGAAAATGACGATAACGAGGCAGCTCGAGTGACTCTATCGAGGGCAAGGAAACGGGATATCGACATCGTGACAATGCGTCCCCTGAGTTCGCGGGGACGCAAGGTGTCCGCGTCGCCTCGAGAGAACTGGGCGGTGAACCTACTTGGCCAACAATGTCGGAAAGAAGTGCTGGCAGGCAATCTGTGGGAAATTCCCTGCTCCAAGTTTGTTATCAGGTGTTTTGGTTTGTTGCACTGGAAATCTGGAGTGGAGGAAAATGCTGAGATTCTTCGATCCTCGTCATTTCATCCAATTCCTTGCTGGTGGAGATGGGTTTCGCGGAGTGACTCTGGAATATCGCTGCCCCTGCCATGCTGGCAAGGCGATTTGCCCAGCACAGCGTGGCAACCAGATTTAGCCAATTGATGAAACGCTTTTGGTTGGCTCTTGCGGTTTTGCTGATTCACTTGCGCGAAACGTGGCATGACAGCCTCGAAAAAGGGTAACACCGCAATGGTTATGATTTCCGCAGAATTAAATTGCAGTACGACTTTCTAAGAGAATGACCTCACGTTGATTTGAGGAATTCAGAGCAGTTTCGTTAGTAGCTGTAAGGAAAATTCCTTATCCTTTGCGACCCTGCTTACCGCGTACAAGACCATTCCCGCCATCGGCACACAACAGTGAAACGTTAACCGCTCGCGACACTCCTCGACTACTCCCGCCACTGTTCACGATGTGACCCAACCTTACAGTTCGGCTGGTAACCCGTGCTCCGGACCTCCGCCTTGACATTTCCCAACCTCGGCGCTAGGCCCGTAGCGCACCCCAATTTCTCGCGTTACCGTTACCACTCTAGTTCGCTATATATTCTTCGCTCATGCCTTCGCTCATTGTATTGTTTTGCTTCGATAGTGCAATTTTCGCTCGTTCGCTCAATTGCACTCGTAACACTTGGTATTCAGAGCCTACGATCTCCTCTCGGGCCGCACCCACACCTTCGCTTCCCCACTATCTCAAAATTTGGAGGGGTAGACGTCTCTCAGCGACCAAGCACCGCCTCTTGAAGTGCTCTCTCGTAAGCACGCACGGCCATGACAGAGGCTCTCGCTGAGCTTGCCCGACACCCCCGCCATGGCCGAATTAAATATCGCGACACTGACGCAGGAGCAGCTCGACCGTCTCATGCGCCAACTCGAAGATTCGGCACTCAAAATTGTGACACTCACGGCGGAACGCGACTCCGCTCTCCAGCAATCGACGGTGAATGCACCGGCACCAACACATGCACCTGCACAATCGGAGGAGCCGATCGTCATCTCATCAGGCACACCGACACAAAACGACAGCGTGGGACAACGCTCAGGCGTAGCCAGTGATGGCGCAGCTCAATCAATGCCTGGCATGGAGAGGAACAGGGCCGCACCAAGCATACAAGGGCCTCGCGAAGCCCGTCGGCACGTGGAGTTCGCCGCAACGAGTGGCAACAACGACATCATGGCGCCGATGCCACTCAAGCCGCAGCGCCCACCCTGCTTCGATCCTAGCCAATGTGGAGGTCCGACAGTTCAATCGTGGGTCTTCACGATGAACGTTTTTTTCGATGCGAATTACGTCGAGTCGGACGCAGCGAAGATTCGCTATGCTGTTTCGCTGCTGAGGGGCCCCGCCATGGACTGGTGGTAAGTCATCGTGACGCCGCCACGCGCCTACGAGCCGCCGTCGCAAGAGGGAGGGCCCACGGGTCCCGCCGTCACCTGGAGTTCTTTCTGCGAAATCGCCCAGTACAACACGTGAGATGCGTGGCGCGCAGGGCTTCGGGCGCGCTTCGAGCTGATTGCGGCTTCTATTTCTGTGCGTCAGAGACTACGTACTTGGCGACAACTCGGGTCGGTCCAAGACTATACGAGCGGGGTTCTCGCATTATGCGAGCAAGTCGGCTACATGCACGAAGTGGAGCGGGTGGACCGTTACGTCGGAGGGCTGAAGCCAGACATCTCGCACGAAATAATGCTACGCGGGCTCTCGAACTTCAACAAGATCCTCGCGCTCGCCGAGAAGATCGATATCCTACACCGACCGAGACCGGGGTCCTACTACGGACAATGTCTTTTGGGACCGGCCGAGCACGCCACTATCCATGCCGTTGCAGCAAATGCAGCTGCCGCGCCATCTAAGGGGCGCTGCTTTGCTTATAATAGGCCAGGCCATCGCAAGAGCAAATGCCCAGAGGAGTTGAGGCGCCGCGGAGCAGAGCAGGGGAGGGAGTCTCAGAGGCAGGGAAACGCCAACAGTCAGTAGAAATCGGGCCAACTACTGACGAGACAACCCGCTCGCCCAACCTCACCGACCCTCACCGAGTCACAGTACCGATTGGGCTCGGATGAATAAGGAGGGTACAGCGTCGGATTGCCCAGTACTGATTCACGGGAAAATCCAGGGAGAAGCAGTGAAGATTTTTATAGACGGAGGAGCAAGTCACTGCTTAGTTAATACCGCAACCGCACGGAAGCTGCAACTGACACATGGTCGGTGTTTACCGGAGATAGATGCACGCTTAGTCGATGGCACGCCGATGGACATACGGGAAAAGGCGGAGAGAGTAAAAGTCCGCTGCGGGAGAAACTTCGGGTTTACATAGGAAATGCTCGCGACGACACTGGATGGGCACGGCATTTTACTGGGACGTGATTGGCTGCGATGCTACAATCCGCGAATCGATTGGACAACGGGTAGCTGCACTTTGCGAAGTAGCGGTAACTGGGTCGAGCTACCTCGCTGGCAGTCGCCCGAATCTTCAACGGTCCACGTCAACGCCATCACAATGAAACGGGCTGTCGACACTGGAGCTAATGTGTACGAGGTGGATATAGCATTGGTAGAAGAAACAGAGCAGCCGAGTGATTTTCAGAAACTGCTGGCAGCGGTACCGCCCGAACTACAGGAACTGTTGAAACGGTACCCAGGTGATTTTTCCGGACGATTTACCACAGGGACTGCCACCTTAGCGGGCACATGATCACCAAATAGAATTAGAACCGGGGGCAAAGCCAACTGTACAGCGACAGTTTCGACTGACACAGCCCGAGCTCGATGAACTGAGGAAGCAGCTAGATTACAGTTAGAGAAGAAGTTCATCCGACCGAGCTCATTGCCGTTTGCCGCACCGATACTATTCACACCGAAAAAAGACGGAGGGTTTCGCATGTGTATCGACTACAGCGCACTGAATAGGGTAACAGTCAAGTCGCGATACCCCATTCCCTGCGCCGACAAACTGATAGATCAAATGCGAACAGCACGGGTCTTTTCGGAAATTAACTTATGGGAAGGTTACGATCAGATTAGGGTCGAACCATCGGACTGCGCCAAGACGGCATTTAGAACTAGGTACGGGTCATTCGAGTAAACCATGATGTCAGAATTTTATATTGCTTAATTTCTGTAAGCTATAGTGGGGTAGCCCATAAGGGGTACAACCCAATTAGGGTTAGTACTTGTACCCAACTTCTGTTCAATGCATTCATTCTCGTTCATTGATTCTGACATGGTTTCAGAGTAGGTCCTTCGCCAGGACCGTTTTTTTGTACGGCCCACCACAGAGCTGCCCCACGAACTGCCCCTAGTAGCTAGTCGCGCTGCCTCTAGCAGCCCACGACCCACCCCTACCGCTAGCGCGCTGCCCTGGCAGCCCGCCCGCCTCCTCGTCACGGCCCTCGCGCCGCCCCTGCAGCCCGCGCGTCGCCCGCTTGCGACCCGCCCGCCGCCCCTAGCAACCCTCGCGCCGCCCCTGCAGCTCAGCGCGCTGCCCCTGCTGCCCTCGTGCCGCCCCTGCAGCCCCGCGTGCCGCCCCTACAGGCCCGCCCGTCGCCTCTGCTGCCCCGTGCGCCGCCCCTTGCGGCCAGCCCGCCGCCCGTAGGCCCCGCGCGCCACCCCTGCTGCCCTCCTCGCAGCCACTGCAGCCCCGCGCGCCGCCCCTTGCGGCCCGCCCGTCGCCCCTGCTGCCCCGCGCGCAACCCCTTACGGCCCGCCCGTCGCCCCTAGGCCCCGCGCGCCGCCCCTGCTGCCCTGCTCGCCGCCCCTGCAGCCCAGCGCGCTGCCCCTAGCGGCCCGCCCTTGGACCCTGCAGCCCGCGGCCCGCCCCTGCAGCCCCACGCGCCGCCCTTTGCGGCCCTCCTGCCGCCCTTGCAGCCCCGCACGCAGCCTCTTGCGGCCCGCCCGCCGCCCCTGCTGCCCCGCGCGCCGCCTCTTGCAGCCCGCTTGTCGCCCCTAGGCCCCGCGCGCCGCCCCTGCTGCACTGCTCGCCGCCCTTGCAGCCAGCGAGCCGCCCGTGCAGCCCCGCGCGCCGCCTCTTGCAGCACTCTCGCCGCCCCTGCAGCAATGCGCGCCGCCCCTTGCGGCCCGCCCGCCGCTCCTAGGCCCGCAAGCCGCCCCTCCTGCAGCCTGCGCGCCTCCACTTGCAGCCCACTTGCCGCCCCTTGCTGCTGCCTGCCCTGTTCCTTGCGCTGCTATGGCTTCTCTCTGCGTACTCGCATTCGATCATGAGGGCTGTCCGATCCAATTCGACACGTGGCTCGACGACGTGCAGCTGTACCTACTGAGCGACTTTAGAGACAGCGTTTCGTTGTTCGACCACATGTCTGGAGCCTCTCCCGCCCCTCCCGCCACAGCTGACAGTGCGACTCGCTCACAATGGCTTACTCGTGACGCTGCTGCTCGCTTAGCCATTCGCAACCACCTGCCGTTAGCCGAATGTGCTCTCTTCGGACAGCACAGGACTGCGCTGGCACTGTACGACACTGTAGTCGCCCGTTACTCCTCGCTAGCCATTGCTGCTCTAG